ACCCCCGACAATTACCAGATCATCCACATACACACCGACGAGCAGTCGCCCACTGCCATCGCCGCGCGCGTACAGCCCATGCTCCAACGGGCTCTGCTTGAAGCCAAGTTTCTTTAGTGTGCAGTCTAGCTTGGTGTTCCAAGCTCTGGGTGCTTGGCGAAGACCATACAGCGCCTTATCAAGCCTGTAAACCTTGTTCTCCTGTCCATCGATCTCAAACCCCGGTGGCTGAACAACATACACCTCCTCAATCAGTTCCCCATTGAGGAACGCTAATTTAACGTCCATATGATGCACCATCCAACCTTCCTGCGCAGCGAGAGCGAGCAACAAACGAACAGAATCAAGACGAGCAACAGGAGCGAATACCTCATCAAAGTCAATTCCAGCCCTCTGCACGTAGCCCTTTGCCACCAATCTCGCCTTGTGTTTGACGACGACGCCCTGAGCATCTTTCTTCAGTTTATACACCCATTTCAGCCCAATTGGCCGATGTCCCGAAGGCAGATCGACGAGCCTCCAGGTCTTGTTCTCCTCTATCGAAGAGATTTCATCGAGCATTGCCCGACGCCAATCCTCGTCGCGTTCAGCTTGAGCGAACGTTGCCGGTTCTTCTCCGCTCACCATCATCAGCTCTTCCTGGACCTCACGATTAGCGAGACCTGGCAGCATGGCCGGCCCCAGCACATTGTCCATCGTGCGGAAACGGAGTGGTGCGTCATCGTGGTCTGCATCAAGATTAGCAGCTGCTCCAGTTGGTGGCGACACAAATTCAACCGCCGGCGCATCGCCATGCACCGAAGGTGTTCGGCCGGCTGTCGGTGAGTCTGATGGCGTTCGCGGCGATGATGAAGATCGAGCAGGCGGCTCCCCAGCATCTTGGCGTGTTCCTGACAGCGAGCCAGGATGGTACACCGTGGTGTACTCAACGATGAAGTCGGTGTCGAGATCAGCGGCCGCCTCAGCATCCCAGTCCCACTAGGCCGCTTCGTCGAAGACGATGTCACGGGAGATGTGAACACGCCGAGTAGCCGGATCATAGGCGCGATACGCCTTGGACCCCGGCTCGTAGCCGACAAAGATCATTGGACGACTCCTGTCATCCAGTTTCTTCAGGTTCGGGGTGGTCGTCTTCACGTGTGCCACACACCCAAACGTGCGCAGATGGTGCACGGCCGGCGGAACGCCATTCCACAGCGCGTACGGGGTCTTGCCGCCGATACCCTTGGACGACGACCTGTTGAGCAGATACACGGCGGTATTTATCGCCTCTCCCCAAAACATACCTGGCAGCCCCTTCGCCTTGAGCATACTCCGCGCCGTGCCCACCACGGATTGGTTTCGCCGCTCGACAACGCCGTTCTGTTGCGGAGAGTAGGGCGCCATGAGCTCGCGCCGCATTCCCAGCTCGGCGCAGTACTCGGCGAACTGTGTAGACGTGAATTCTCCCCCGCGATCCGTCCGCAACGCGCGGAGCTTGCGTCCACTCTTCCTTTCTGCCGCCGCCTGAATACGCTTGATGGCAGCCGGCGCCGCATCTTTGGTGGAGAGGAGGGCGACCCACATGTACCGGCTGTAGTCGTCGACGAGTAGAAGGAAATAGCGGTTGCCACTGGGTGTCGCCGGCGTGATCGGTCCACAGAGATCTCCATGTAGCAGCGCCAGCGGCTCGTCAGACCGGCAAAGTGCCTGCCGCGGGAACGGCGACCTCCGGTGTTTCCCGGCGAGACAGGCCTCACAGACCTGATCAACCTGCGACAAACATGGTAGACCACGTACCAGCTCCTCCTTGCCCATCTTGCAGAGCGCCCTGAAGTTTATGTGCCCGAGGCGAGCATGCCAGCGCCACGCGTCTTCGTCGGCGTGTGCCGCCAAACAGACAGGGCGCGCCAGGTTGATGTCAAGCATGTACAGTCGCCCTGGGGTGCGAGGGATCCGGGCAAGCAGACGCCGCTGCTCATCCCAGACCCGCATGATGCCATCCTCCGCCAGCACTTTGAAGCCGGTCTCATCCAATTGCCCAATGCTGATAATATTGGCAGCAAGACGGGGAAGATAATAGGTGTTCGACAGAGTGCGGTGCTCACCATTCTTGCAGGCAAAGAGAATTGTGCCCCGTCCTGCGATCCGGACCACGGATCCATCGCCGAGTCGCACGTTCCCGGTGATGTTCGTGTCGAGGTCGGCGAACGCCATCCTGCTGCCCGTCATATGGTTTGACGCGCCGGAATCCATAATCCAGCGCCCGGGATCATGGTCAGCCGCGTCGTCGAGCGCTGCAAATACTTTCATCTCCACGAGTTCCACCACGGCTTGGTGGGGCGGTGTGGGCGTGTCGCCCTCCGGCGCCGCCGCGTCGACCGTGTCAACGCGGCCGCCGGTGAGCAACATCAAGGTGTGCTCTTCTTCATCCTCCTGGGCGACGTGAGCCTGTTCTTCGCGCTTGGACTTGCTCCTGCAGTCCTTCGCCCAGTGCCCAAGTTTGCCGCAATTTCGGCATTTGTCTCCCTTGCGCGCCGAACCAGAGTTCGTGCTCTCGGGGCTCGCAGTCCCGCCGCCACCAGTGCGCCCTCTCCCGCCACGGCGCTTGCCGCGGCCGCCAGAGCCGCCCGAGTCACCCCGCTTTGCCTCTTGATCCTTCTTCTTCTGACGTTCAGCCCACTCCTCCTCAGTTAGGTACAGCTTCCCACCGGCGGTGTGCGACGAGGATTGCCCAGAATCCTCAGCGGCTTTCAGTCTGCCAGTAACTTCCTCCATGGACAGAGTAGAGATATCGAGAAGAGTTTCAATAGACAAGATGAGTTGATTGAACCTGGGACGAGCTACCCGAAGGTACTTTTCGACGACTTTATCAGCAGGTTCAGGATCACCGAGGGTTGCAAGCTGGTTGACGATGGTTGTGAGCCGTAGAGCGAAATCTTCCACGGTCTCGTCACCGCGGAACGCAAGCGATTCATACTCAGCGCGCACTTTCTGTGCACTCGCCTTGCGAATCCGGTCGTTGCCGACTCGCATTGTCTTGATGCATTCCCAGGCTTCCCGGGCCGACGCTTTGGTCGCCAGGGTGCCAATCATCTCCGGCGGCACGGCACTGCAGATAGCGTCAAGAGCCATCCGGTCCTCATGCAGAGGGACGTCCACGCCGTCGGGCTTGATCGCCGCCCACAGGCAGCGAGCCTGCAGCTTGATCTTCATCAGTAGCGCCCAGTCGTTGTAGTTGGTCTTGGTCAGCAGCGGGTAGTTCACCGAGCCGCCTCCTTCTTTCACCACGCGGTGGATCACCAGCCCGCGGTCACCCCCGCCGCTGCCCGTGGCGCGGCCGCCGGAGTCATGAGGAGTGCGCACGATCGGTGACGACGAGCGACGACGCGGCATGAAGACGCCTTCCAATGCGCGGTCACGAGTCCACTTCCTAAACCGTGCTCTGATACCAATTGTTAGGAATTTCCCCAGCGATCGCTAGCAGGAAACCAGACGAACACAACGCACGCGTACTGTGGCTAAACCTGCAAATTCGCAGAACAGAGGAAACAGAGCAAATTTTGTGCAGCGCTTTACTCAGCTGCTTTTCTGTTTACTTCCATATATAAAGGAACGAATACAACGGAAACAACTAACCACCAAGACCACTTCTCACGCCATGCTCTAGCTGCGTCCATCCCCACAACCACACGACGTGATCCGAGCTCCCAGCACAAGACGCGGGCAACGAGCTAAACTCGGATACCCTCATAACAGACTCCACACGATGGCTATCACACAACACGTGAGCTCATGCGTTTATTCAGAAAAAAAACGGAAACATGCAGATAACTAATCAACTAACTAACCGTGGCACACAAGATTACTGCTAACACTCGCCGGCATCCGCGCGTGGGGAGGAGCTCGCCGGCGTCCGCGCGCGGGAGAGGAGCTCGCCTGCCTTCCGCGCTCCGGGGAGGAGCTCGCCGGCGTCCACGCGCGGGTGTGGAGCTAGCCTGCCGTCCGCGCGCCGGGGGAGAAGCTCGCCGGCGTCCACGCGCGGGGGTAGAGCTTGCCGGCCGGCCGTGCGCCTGGGGAGGAACTCGACGGCCGTCCGTGTGCCGGGGAGGAGCTCGCCGGCGTCCGCGCATGGGGGTGGAGCTCACCGGCCGTCCGCCTGCCGGGGGAAGTGCTAGCCGTGCTTTGGCTTTAACCACGCGGTCGTCGTGGCCACGGGAGCTAGCCGTGCTCGATCGATGCATATGCATGCTGAGCATGCTTGCATATGCTTTCACTGTTCCCGATATGGTTTTAGATAAGCTAAGTAGCTCGTCGGCCGTCCACGCGCCGCCGCCTTCTTCCTCCTCCCTCCCCTGACTGCGGCTTCGGGGAGGAGCTCGTGCTTCGTGCTTCCGCCGGCCATCGTCACCTCTCCCTTCGTGCTTCGTGTTTCGGCCGGCTGATGGAATGTAAGAGAGACAAAAATGAGAGAGAGAGGGGGAGAGGTGAGGATGAAATGTGGGCCCCATGTCGGTGGGTTCCACTATTTTTTTTTGTGTGTGAATGATATGTTGGTCCCACAATTTTTTTTACTCTAATGCCACGTAAGCGACACGTTGAGGACACGCAGGACGAAGACTGGGTCAACACCGCCACGTGGACGTTATGTCAGCCTAAACCGCTTCCAAAACCACCCAGGGATATAGTTTGCAACAGTCTTTTAATAGTTGGAGGAGTCGATATACCCGGTTTTGTGGTTGGAGGTCATGAATCATACTCAGGTCACAGTTGAGGGAGTCAAAGTATACTTTTTCCGAGCAATCTCGATAGGATTTGCCAAAAACTAATGGGCTACCATTCATAGCGCTGGGCCGAATTCCGAGCCCATGGGAAAGACGCGAAGGATATGGGGTACGTATCAGGTGTCCCTCTGTTGGGCGCTGTAGCAATTAGTGCGAAAAAAATGTACCCAGGTCCTGATGACCGTACAGAATACAAGAAGCGCTACATCCACCTGGGAAGCTACACATATCCGAGCGTCCGCGAATATATTTCTCGGTTTCTTCGGCTTTCTTCCCCAAGTCCGGCTCGAGTTTCATCTCTCGACCTCGCCGTGCTCGTGCTGTTGTGCAGCGGTGCAGGTGCTCTCTTCCACTTCCTCCCTCCCTCCCTTCCTCCCTCCATGGCTCCATCTCCACTGGCGTTTCCGCCGCAACTAACCAACCCCTTCGATCCGATTGCAGGCGTTCGATCGGTGACGAGACGATCGGAGACGCGCCGATGCCGCCGGTGCCTGTGGAGCACGAGGTGGGCGCGAGGGTAGAGTGCCCGGACCCTGATTCAAAATGTATATGTCCTTCTCTTCGATCTCTCTCGTTTGGCTATTTCTTGGCTGCTCGTGGTTGTGTATGCGCGCGTGCCTTCTGCTTTCCCCCCTGTTTGCATTTGGTATACATGTTCGATTCAAAGAGAGAGAGAGAAGCTCAACCTGAAATTTTTTTTTTTCAGATGGAGTAAACATGGTGAGAGACCGGCTTAAAGACAGAACTGATATTCTGTTCAAAGTAAGGATATTGGTTTGATTGATTGCACTAGTTTGATTTACCACCCGGCCGTATACTCATTTTTTTGGTTTTGTTTTGAAGCTGAATAGTGTGGTCTGGATTTCACCCAGTAGCACGTCACTTCATGAGCTTTTAGGTATGAAGATATCTATACTTGTTTTTAACTTCTTTTTTCGAGGGGACTACTTTATTTTTTTAACTTCATGATCCATTATATATGACGCACTAACATTATTTTTCAAAAAAAATTGGAGGAGGAGTTGCGTCCGATTTCACAGATGGACATGCCAGCAGGTGTGTTCCGCTTCCTTTGTTGTATTTAGAATATGTGGCCCATTATAAAATTTGCTCTTTTTTCCCCATGAATGTGTATCCATAATTGCTGATTGATGTATTTAGAATATGTGTTTTATAGTTTTTCTGGCAGGTTACAAAAGACAGAGTTGGCTCACACCATATGTGTAACGTCACAGGTTAGTTTCCCAAACCACAGCTTTCTATTGGAACGCGTGAGGATATATTTCTTATTTTACCTAATGAACTACAGCTTCCTACCGGAACGCATGAGGCTACAGGCAAAATTGCCTACATTGACACAGAGGGCACGTTGTATCTTTTGAAATGCTGAGTTATACGTCTCGCTGTTTCATTTTGTGAATTCATTTGCATCCCTATTCTTCTAAAACTGTTTCCTTAATAGAGTTTCCAGTGACCCTGAAAAATTAGTCAAAATTGCTGAGCGATTGGGTGTTGAAGCCACTCCTGTTATCCAAAATGTAGTATATTCCCTCCATTCTTTTTATTCTTACATTCCATTTCTGGACTAATGCACGAACATATTTCTGCCTCTTACATTCTTTATCCATTTCTTAAGACGGTATATGCGAGTGCATACACCTATGAAGACATGGAGGCCTTGTTGTCTGATCTTCAATCCAAGATGGAAAAGGAACCATTTAAGATGCTGGTACGCATGGGTTCACAAAGTAAATCTATATTGATAAGTTACACATCTCATTTAGGGGAATATTAGGTGAAAACCATCAAATAAGTGTAAACCCATGAAAATTAAATCTAGAGGTTTTCTAAAATCATGAAAAAAAATATCCTAGAGATAGGTATAGGCATGAAGTAAATTACCACCAAATCTCAAGTCAAAACTCAAATTCATTTTGTTCCTACCAAATGAAGTTTGAGTTTTGACTTGAAATTTTCTGGTAATGTATTTGATGACTAGACCTATCTTTAGGATTTTTTGTCATGAATTTAGAAAAGTTATAGGTCCGGTTTTCACATGTTTTGACTTATATAAATATATATCTGATGGCCTCCACTGGATATTTTCTCCCTCATTTATTCTCATGTGGTATTTTGTTCTTACATATAGATAATCAATTCGGTGACAACATTGTTCAATACAGAACTCTGTAATGGCTGTGCGTTTGATGGATGTCAGGTATTCTAGCAATTAAATTCTTTTCTGGTAGCTGTATGTTAGTTGGAAATTACCATTTTATCTGCATGCTTAAAGTCATGGCTATGTAATTGCAGATAAAGACACTAGAGATGATGTATTGCCTAAGGATGATAGCCAATAAATTTCATATAGGGGTGTATGTCACGAACCATGGTGAGATTTTACATTTTGTGTGTTCCAGTTAAAGGAAAATGCTTTATTCAGAGTAAGGAATTGGAAACTGTGACTTATGAGCCTATTGATTGCTAATCCAGAGGAAATGGGTTTGACTGATGCTAAGATTAAGAGGTCACTCAAGCAGGGGCTATACTTCAAGGAAGTAAAAGATCTCCGTAAGGTAAGAAAGTTGTATTTAAACTACTGTTTCTCGTAAGATTTAGTGTTTTCTGATGACCAAATGGCAATCTAGTAAACTAATTGTTCTTTTGTGCCTCTAATTTATTTTGCTCTTATTTTGTAGCTGAATAATGCTGTTCAGGTCACTACAGGAAACAGTTCCCTTGGTGACATGCATCAAGGTGGTGATATGCATGAAGGTAACACACTTAATTACCCCTCAGTTCTGTTCTAAGCACCAGTGCCATTTGGAATTATAACTTATTCCCTCCATACTCCATTTGGAGTTATGTCTATAACAGAAAGATACAATGGATGCACAAAAACTGTATGCGGACGAAAACATGAAACTGTATGCGCCAACAGCCAAAGGCTCCTGGTTTGTTCCTGACTTCCTGTACATCAGTATAGTTTCAGATACAACCCAATTCACATAATTACAGTTTTAACGAGCATGCAGCTGAAAGTACTGTGTTATGAAATGGTTTTCAACTAAAAAGGTTTTTTTTGTGAAACTACTTTTGAAAGAGTAATTCTTTCATAGATTTTGCATTATAACTGTAGTTTTGTGAAATTACTCAAAGTTTAAGTTTAATACCATGGATTTTGCATGACATCTTCTTACAGATGTATTTTTGGGTCTGCAGGATTTTAGAACCAAAATCAGAGTTTCTTATCCAAATTCCTGGTTTTATCTTGATGCAAGTCCAGATGATAAAATCAAACAGTTATCACAGATGATCGAGAAGCGAATTTCACTATCTCGGGAAAGTTTTTATCTGACTTATTTGGGCCGTAAGCTTGAACCCGAAAGTACTCTTCGAGAACTTGGGCTTGTAGTTTCACTGATAACATTTGAGTTGCACGTACGACTACGTGGAGGTTGTCCAGACAAGGGGTGTGTAACTTCTTTCTCTCAGTATTACCTTTTTGTTTGGAACAACTCTAGTTTATCCTCTTAGTTATTCTTATTTTTGAGGACTAACCTTTTTTTCGCAATTGTTCTAATCTTTTTGTCATGTAACAAGCAATATTGTTATTAACCTCTAATGTGTGACTTATTAACATTTTATAGAAATCAATCACTGCGGGAATTTATTGCAAGCAACAGCGTGTGTTGGATTACAATGTCTCATGGGAAGAATCTATACTCTAACAGACTTGTAAGAGAAGTGCTTGTAAGATATCCGGGGCAAAAAGGAATGCGACAGGTGGTTAAGTTAGTTATGCAACCTTTAGCCATCCGTATATGTAATGGGATTGCATCACGTACACAAGGCACATGATGCGGATAAGAGTTGGAACGGATCAATTTCTTTAGAAACATTTAGGATGGTTGATGGTTGTATGGAAGTTTCACAACATGCTGTCAAAGATTTAGATGAAACTAGCGTCTGTGAGGACTATAAGAAAATTTCAAAACTGTTCCTGGATATGTTGGAGCTCAACAAGGGACATCCTTTATACCTCAGTCATTTATGCAGTAAGATGAAGAATGCTAATGTTACTTCAGCAAAGAGCAATACTTTTCAATTGTTCTTAAGAGTTCATCCATCATTGATGACATATTCAACACGTTCCTCCTTATTGTGGGAGATGAAACGTGAAATCGATGGATTATTACCTCCCAATGCAAAAAATATTCAGTCTGCCATTGATCAAATTTTGATGAATAGAGATTGGACACTACTTGCTAAACAGGAAGCTGCTTTCTCACCTACCTATAACAGAAGTTACAAGAAGTCGTCAAGTGAATGCTTCAAGTTCATTCGAAATTGGTTAACTCATGGGATAGAGAACTTCAATGTGAGTTTCTTTTCTCATTTAATTATCATCATCTGTTATTCTTCCATGTAGTTATGTTTATTCTCACTTTTTTTTATTTTCTTTTATAGACCTCAGATCCAAGAAGGTTTACAACTGAAGATATGGACTATCTATTGGAGATAGTCTTCAAAGATTTTCTAGCTGATATTGTCTGGACGTTGCTACAAAACAACATTGGGAATTTAAACAGATGGTGCTTACCTGGTCCTTATAATTTTTGTGAAACTGTGTATAAACTAGAATATCTAATTCTATTTCCATTTCAGGTTTGCAGATGTACAAGAAAATAACTCTTTCTAGGTTGATTTGTGGACAGAACAACTAACCTGTGTACATGTAAGTTATCGTTCATCAACAATCTTTTTTTTCCATGTGCACGAAATAAAAGATGTTCCTAAGAAAACAATATGTTCTATAACATATTTGTAGTGACACTATTTTTGATCTTTGCTTACAAGTGTTCCTCCTGCAACAGTGAAAACCTCTCACTCCCGCGAAGTGGCCTCAGAAGTGGACCAATCAAAAGATGATTGCATGACATTGTTGGAACAGGGTGAAGAAAGCTGCTGAAGAAACTTGAAGGACATTTGCTTCGCCTTTCTGTAGCTCTTAAGTCTGCTTCCTTGCTGTGTTTTGTTTCTGGAGATAGTCGTAGGTCTGTCTTTTGATGATTGCCTGTTCGAGATGAGGGTGGTATCTTTTGGTGATGCGACGATCTGATACTGTAAGCTGGAGTCCCAAGACAGAATACCATTTTTTGTAAACCCTGGTTCATGCTTTCTGACAAAGCTGCACGAAACATTTTTATCACTCAACTTTCATATTGTTTCATCTTGGCAAATGGACCACAAGAGAAGTATATTTGTTGTAAGCATAGAAAAATGGAAGAAGAGGTAGATCATTTCTTCATCTCCATAGGATGAATGCTTGAATGGCCATAATGAATTGGACTCATGCTCGATGTTGTGAGTTGTGACATGCTCATCTGCGGATGCCATAGGTCAACTTGGCAGGATGTTTTATATGCCAAACTTGAATTCAGACTCAGGTCTCATTTTTGCATTTGAATTATCTATGTGGTAGGAGCAGTATAGACGGGGAGAACCATACTTTGAATGCCCGTTGCGGATTTGAGACAAATGGCTCTCGCGTCGCCCTCCCCCAAGGGCGGCTCGGGAGGCGATGACCCGGCCACCCCCTCTCCCCCATCTTCCTCCTCCGCCTCGCCGCCGCCTGAGCGGCCACAAGGACGGCGGCGGCGGGGCTCCTCGCTTCTCGTTTCCTGGGCGGCCAGGGGAGCCCCCTAGGCGGTGGCGGCGGCGGCGGCAGTGACCACCAAATCCGCACCGCTCCGGCTAGGGGAACCCCCTGGGCGGCGGCGGCGGTGACCGCCAAGTCCGCGCCGCTCCGGCTGGATCTAGCGGCTGGCGGCGGGGACGGGGACGGCGACGGTGGCGGGGATGGCGACAGCAGCGGTAGGGGCGAGGGCTGGCACGGCCGGCGGCTGGCGGAGGGGATGGCGACGGTGGCGAGGATGGTGATGGCAGCAGGGATGGCGACGGCGAGGCGGATCCGGCGCACGGAGGAGGATCTGGCCCCCTAGTGGCTAGATCGGACGAGGATGAGGCCTGCTGTGGCGACGACGGCGCGGAGGTCACGGCGGCGGTGGCGCGGTGGCCGTGGCGGCGGTGGCACGATGCTTGCGGTGACGGCGGCGCGGAGCCCGTGGCGACGGGAGCAGATGGCCGGCGGTGCCAGTGGGTGGTTGGTTGGCCGGCGACAGCAGCGGCTGAAGGCGGCGGTGACTGGCGTGGGGACCGCGGCGCGAGGAGGCGTGGAGGCGCGGCATGGCCAGAGGCTGCGTAGGCCGACGAGGCGCTGGCAGCGGGGCGGCGGGGTTGGCCGTGGCACGAGGCTTGGCCAGTAGCGGCAATGGTGGTGCCATTTGTGGTGTGGTCGGCGGAGGCAGTGGTCGGCGCACGGTGGTGGCAGGCATAGGCTGGCCGGTGGGAGGGGCGTCGGTGCAGTGTTGCTCACGCGCCGGCGGAGGTTAGATGGCAGTGGAGCATCGGTGCGTCATCGGGGATAAGCTGGCGGTGGATGGCGGGTGAAAACCCAGCCCGGCTTTGGCCGGGCCGGCAATGATGGCGCTCTGGCATCTCACCCCCTCTAGTGGGGTTGCCGGGTGAAAGCTCAGTTAAGGTTCTTGTGACTTGACGGACGACGGCGGCGATGCCTTCGTCGTTTCTCTCCCTAGAGATGTCGTCATGGCAGCACCCTTGCCAAAGCCACCCAAATAACTATTGCGAGCTCACTTTAGAGTCTCTTCCTCTCGTATCGACGTCCTAGTTTATACAAGCTGGCCGTGTCGGGGGGCTAGGGGGGAGAGCGGTTCCATCTTCTCTCTCACCCTGAATCCCTTATATGTGGATAGAGCGGGTTTTGTGTCAGGTGTAAGGGTTGGGTTTTGGGCGTTCCCTGTTGTAGTTCCTTTGTTGACATAGCGGTGGTCGGTCACGCTTAGCGACGGCCGGTCCGGTGCTAGCCTCCTCTTGGGTTTGTGTTTGGCGCTGTCGGTGTGTGGGTGATGGTATACTTTTTTTTCCTGGTTACGGCCTTCCAGGGTTGTAATCTTGTAATTTTTTTCTGCTCTATCAGTATGAACTTCGCACTGTCATTCAAAAAATTTTTTGGTTGAATCATATATGATTTTGTAATTTGGAGGAAAGGAATAGAACAATCTTCTAAGATTAATGCATCTGATATGGCGCACGTGGGACGTCCTCACGGAAACGTTTTTGCAGTTTAAACACAAAACCTAAGAAGGAAGACACTGCATTGAGATAGAGAAAATATCTTCAACACACTTTCTAAACAAATAGTATGATCGATTTTGAGAAGAGGAAAAAAAGAAGGAATTAGAGTTCTAGACAAATATAATCTATTATGAGAAATGAGAGAAAATAGAAAAGGAATTAGAGAAGAATGTCTTCAACACACTTTCTAAACAAACATGATCGATTGTGAGAAGTAAGAGGAAGTGAAAAAGGAATTAGAGTTCTAAACATATTAGAAAATATAAATTGCGCCATAAACGAAGATAGACATTATCGTTTCTATGGTTGCATCCTAGTGACATAAATGAAGATAGGAATTGCGTTAGACATTGTTCATATGTCCTAAGGATGCCAGATTAAAGTAATCTAGTAATGGCCTTGTACTTTTGTACATATCTAAATTTTTCTCCAAAAACTCACTATATATCTCAATTTTCCTCTTCAAATGTCCTCTCTTTGGCCCAGCGAAAATGTCCTCTCTTTGGGCTTATCAGCCACCTCCTAAGTAAAAAAAGAAAAGAAAACAAAGTGTAAACAGACAGTTCTTTTTCATTGGCTTTTAAAGCCATATAAACCACTCTTGCACCAATAGGTCAAAGCTAGATTTTAGTATCTTTTTTCCCATTGTGTGGACTGAAGTTAGGATTTCACCCTGGGACATGTGTCTTAAAGCCAACTGCTTAAAAACAGTAAAAGTAAAATATATAATAACCTTACTAGAAGGGCCTAAACTTCTATGAAGACAATCGAAATAGAAAGCACAAACAACAAATCTTGGAATGCTCCATCCAATAATACAGTTCAAACTGTGGCAGCAAAGGCATATCTAAAAATCTCACAGCACCAAAGCCCACATGATCATCTTGATAGTGGACAGTCAGGAAACATGAAATTGGATTCGATGTCTTCAGTCCTATTTACTGCCACACTTGCTGTCATCCTAACCTGAAGTTCAGAGTGCAGACTTCAATAAAGCATCAGACAGTGCATCACTTTTTCCCCCAACATGAAGTTCATAGTGTAGACTATAAATAATTTATGGGTAAAATTTTTATATGTGTTCTTAGCGATTTAAAAGCCAATGCTTGAAAAAAAAATCGATGATACAAACATCAAAATCAGGTTTTAAAATTCAAATGTTCATAGCCGCTTATATGTTGCAGGACAGAAGATGGGATCCAGTGTTTCATTTTCCCCTCTACATGTAACCAAGTACTTATAATAAATTACTTCTAACTGTAACTCTAAATTTTTCTCTAAATGATTGTAAATTCCAAATTCAACTAATATGTAAACAAAGTGCTTCAAATATTGAGAAGGATGTTCTATAACTTGTCCAGGCGAACCATTAGTGTTGAGTGTTGACCGTGTATCAGAATATCCCCATCTAAGCAAAAGCAATAGCCAATAAGACGGGACAAGGTACTAAGGCAACAATCTTCAAATGAACTATTCTCCGTAATCTTGAGCTATGACAACCCACATGTAGATTTCAGGATAGCAATTGTAATTCTAAAAGCGAGCCTTCTAGCAGGCTAAGAATTTACTTGACAACCATTGATTAAAAACTTGGAAGAATAGAAGCAGTGTTTTGCTATAACTTTCTGTGAGGCTCACCGAAGAAAAGGTTTACATGTTCTTCCAAATTTAGAATTTAACAGGTTATGATTAAGCTGTCAACCAGTTTGATTTACAAGCCGGACTAAAGCTAGCACCAAAATTTCAATGCAGGTGCTGTCTTACCAAAAGAGGATGCTTAAAATGACTTTGATCGATTAACACTTGCATGGTCGTTTATGGACTTGTTCTAGAATGTGGCACAGCTGTTTTCATGACTAACTTATGTTCCCATAGTTGAGTTCCTGAAATCCAGGGGTATGGAAGACCTATTGTCATGACGGAATTGTTGAGAGCGACAATGGGATAGGATATCACTAGCAGTGACCAAATTGGATTGGAAGTAAGTTGGGAGAGTGCTGAATGCGCTTGGTTGAGTGGCCAGAGCCCTAAATTATGTAACTAGACGACCCAACCTCACAGGTTGAGCCAGATGGTATACCAAGTACGTGATTAGATCGAAGCATAGATCAAAGCCATACAAGAGTCATAGGACCAAGACCAACGACATGCACAACAATATGCAAAAAAATAATGAGTGATAATACATTGAAATCATTCATTACCTGACTGTAATTACTTTGAGAGCTCACTAGAGATGTAATATGGGTTGAACAACAGCCCCTTGTATTCATACCCCTTCTCACCGTTTGGATAGTTCTTGCACGACACAACTGACTTGGCCCTCATGTCAACTGTGATCATCCAGACCTGCTCATGGTATATAGGTTGGCGCAGCACAAAGTGCACAATGTGTGGGTCTAGTAAGCTCACCACAGGATACTCTGGTACCCACTGATGCAAACCGTATTTCTTGAAGGATGCTGACCCCCACAGGCCGTTGACATCGAGCACATCATCCAACTTCCATACCATCTGTGGCATTTGCAGTGTCCACGCCCTGATAACGATGGCAGAGGGCCGGGAGCGGCACTTGTCAACATCTACGAACTTGATCTTCCCATCAGAGACACCGACTGTCCTGAAGGACGCAGTTGGTCCACAATTGTCAGTCTTAACATGGAACAAGAGTTGAATTTCGCTCTCAGGAAAAGGGAACTTGATCAATTGGAGCTTGGGCAGAGATTCCAAGACATCACAGAAGATAAGGCCAATGTTGTAGCTAGCCCAATAGACCTTGCCGCCGTGGGAGAAGGCGATTTGGCTGCTCCACTTGCTTATCAGTCCAGAATGCCCCCCATAATCTGAGTCAAAAGGAGGCAGAGCTAGCTTCTTGACAACCCAGCTGTTGCTGCTGCTGTTGTTGTTATCCCTGTCGCCGCCTGAACAATGGAGTAAGGTGAGCTTGGCAAACTCCTCAATGATTGCGGTTCCTTCCTCTAGCTCCTTAACGGTGATTGTTCCTTCCCCCACCATCCACATCTGCAAAGATGAAACGGTGAAGCCACCACCACCATGGGTCAAGATGCCGATGTCCCCGGACGAGCGCTGGCGGCCGTCGGGGAAAGCAGGGAGGCGCGTCAGCGTAGGGGTGAGGGCAGAGGCGGCGGTGTAGACGAAGAACTCCTCCGGGTGGTCGTAGCTGTAGTACCTGGTCTTGACGGGGACGACGACGCAGAGGAGGAGGTGGTGGGCGTCCGCGGCGAGGAGCGAGGAGAGGCCGTGCTTGAGGGTGTGGGGCGCCGCCATCGGGTGCAGGTGGACGTGGGAGATCGCCGGCGGCGCGGCGAGGCTCAGCGACACCGAGAAGGGGAACCCGGTGGTGGTCGTGCGGTGGCTGGCGGCCCCCGTGCCCGTCACCGGCTCGCGAATGATGAGCTGCGTATCGAATATGGCTCCGGCCATCTTCTTCTTCTTCTTCTCCTCCTCCGGCGCCGCTGCAGCATCAGCACTCGTATCGTCGACAGGGACGGATCCAACTTGGGACATGGGGCTTTTGGGTGAACAAACAAACTGTTACTGGATGATACCCCGCGCGTTGCTGCGGAAACTTTTAGAACTACCGTAAGAATAATAGTTTGTATGCAAGTAGAAATATTTCAAAGTTAAGTAGCATTTCTGTGTAAATCCATTTTTTATTGAACATGCAAACCGGTTTTTTAATGACATTTTTGGTACGTGATGTCTTACATGTTAGTTTCGAAAAGTAGAGGCATGACAATGATGATAACAGAACATGTTTGACAAAATAACAAATAACTTGGAACAATCAAAGGATGTTATTATATCAAATCATATGTGGTCTTTAGCTCGAGGAGGATGGGTTGACCGGTAAAATTTGGTTCGAAGATGAATTAGTATTAGTATTAAACAATTGGATTTGCTTGCATGGTAATGTAGTTAATTAGACATTGGTTTTGTGAAGAAGAATTACCCTTTTTGTGAGCCAGGTCATTCGGCACTGCTGACTGGAGGACTATGCTTTATGAAATGGTTCATAACATATTGCAATTAGTATTTTAGTTAAATTTTGTTATTCTGGGGGATGTTCAACGTAGTACATACTCTTCCTTCTGACTTTTGAGGATGGGGTTAATCAAAGTTCTTTGTTACTGAAAAGGGAAAGAAGTACAGTAAGGGAGGGTTTGAGCGGATATTTGTTTGTCACAAAATATTAAAATGATGAGAAATGGTATACGCAGTATATACATGGTGTTATAAAATACAGTATACTTTCTAGTTTCCTCAGTGGAATCTTCACTAAAATCGATGCTTTTCTTTGTAGTTCAGCTGCTGTAAATATATTTTAGGATTATATTCATGTATTTGATTAAGCATGGAAGTGAAATATCTTTCACCTTTTTTCAGTTGATATGTTACCAGCTGTACCGTCTTTGGATGTTCCTGTTTTGTCAACAGTTGCGCTGAAATTGATTTGACATTAGCAGATAGTATGTAGTCTTAGATGGAGATATGAATAGAAAATATGAGAGAACAACAAACCTGAGATAGTATGTAGTCTTAGATGGAGATATGAATAGAAAATATGAGAGAACAACAAACCTGAGGATACTTGTACATGTCATAGGCGGTGAAAGATGGAGTAGAACTTTGTTCTTGGAAGGTTTTGGATTAGTTTGTTAGTTAGATTGAAAAATATTTAAGTGATATAAAATAGTAGTCCAGTATGTACTAACCTCTTCATTTGTCAGCATAGGGGTTGACATAGTGCTCTCAATTGGGAAACTCTTCTTAAGCACATAACTGATAACAAACTTAGAAGATGAATCAATATTCATTCCTCTATTAAAACAAACCAACAACGATGCTGCAGGGGCCTCCCCTCTAGTCGTTCAAGTAAAAACAAAAGACCAATGAATTAAAGATGACTACAACTCCCTCCTTTGATTTTTGCAGTACTCATCTTTGTTGAAATCCATATTGTCCTGAGTACTACTTTTTGAGCATGGTCCCTGCAAAAGTGTAGGATTATTGATCAATTTAGAAGGCTGTAAAGATGTGATATTTGACTTCATATAAAACTAATTTTCTTTGTTTTGATACTGATCAAAGGAGCAAAAAAGTCATTCTTGCTAAGGCCTTGTTTGAATAGCCCGAGATTGAGGACCATCTAAACATGGTGTAAGAGAGAGATCCAAAAAAACTTATTTTTTTACTTTCTTAGAATAGTTATTTGATATAATTATAAGTAAGAGTGGCATGAGGCTCATGATAATCATACCTCAAATAAATTGTTGCAGTAATGAAATAGTTGTACAGATTGCCATAACCAATTCAGTGTAGCTAAATATATAGAATGGAATCGTTGCAGTAAAGAAATAGTTCTCCAAATTACCATTAATGGAATGGAGAGCAATATAAACCATGCCCAATCCTCAACCGATTAAAATAGCTATAGCTTCCTTTATTTGCTGATAAAATTTGATCACAGGTAGAACAATTTCTTCTCACTCACAACTTTTTTATAGAAGCTATAAAAGTGATTTTCCTGTAGATAAAATAAAAGCAAATATAGATCAGCAAGAGGAACATGGAGCGCTGATTTCCCTATAGATAAAAATAGAAGCAAATGTAGATCAGCAAGAGGAACAGGAGTTCTCATATATACCTAGTGTAGAATTAGGAGCAACAAACCATGACGCATAGGATTGGAGTTACGTAGCAACAGAATAACCATGCACGTCATTTTTTTGGGTGAACTCTGCTAGCCTCACATTTTATCTGACCTTCAGGAGAGCCGCAGGCTTGCAGCCACGACGAATAGACCCTGAACTTCATTTGCAAAATGAATCCCTTGAGTGCGGGTGTTTAATCCATCCCAGACTCCTCAGATCGGCAATTCTCTTGAGCGCCCAACCAGATAAAAAAGAAAGTATGGAGATGGCCGAGGATTCAAGCGATGGCCAGGGAAGCTGAAAACCACGGATGATTTATCGCACAATATAATGGTTACATATCGCTCGACAAATGCTCGACTTCCCTCTTATAATGATTGCTCGGAATAAATTGGGGAAACCGAAGGGAGAGGAAGCGATGACCGTGGGGAGAGGGAGAGGCTGGCGCCAGGCGAGGGAAAGGGAGTGGGAGGGTGGCACCTGCGCGTGCGCTGGCGCGCGCGACGGGGGAGAGGAAGCGATGGCGGGCACGATGTGGGAGAGGAAGCGAGGGCGTTCGGCGGCGGGCCTACTCTGGCGCGCGCGATGGGGGAGAGGAAGCGAGCGCGTCCGGCCGCGCGGGGAGTGGTGGGAGGAAGCAGCTTGCGATGGGGGAGGCCCGGCGGCGGCGGCAAAAGGATGTTTGCGATCGGACGGTTAGTGGGGCTTTCATCGAACGGCTGAAAAAAAGGGATGACGTGGCTTAACCACAACTCAGAAAAATCCCTAATAACTACACTAAGTGGGGATCACTTGTATAGTATTATAGGATTACTTGAATTAAGAGAGGTTTAAGGCTATGAAATTAATTAAGGAGGAGGAGAAGCTAGTAGGGTCGACGAACGCAAGCAAATTCCAGTCCCGGTGGGGGTGGGAGAGAGAGAGATGAATCAGAAAGAGGACGCACCAGGATCCCCTCCCCTCCCCTCCGCTCTTGCTCGCCAGATGGAGATCGCCGCCCGGCCCTCCCCTGTTCGTCTTGGCGGCAGCGCAAGGAGCGGAGGAGACAACGAGATCGAGACAGTTGATTTCTTTTTCTTTTACACGATATACTCGACTACTCCGCCCTTTATCTCAATATCAATAATTTTTTTTGCTACTCTCACTGTTCTAAAATAAGAGTTGTTTTGCACTTTTCACATCCAATTTTTGACCGTTTGTCTTATTTGAACTTTTTTTTTATAATTTGTATTTTTATTGTTATTACTTCCTCTGGTTCAGGTTATAAGACTTTTTAGCATTGTCCACATTCATATAGAATTTCAGGTTATAAGATTTTCTAGCATTGTCCACATTCATATATCTATATCAGGTTAGAAAGTCTTATAACCTGACATGGAGGTAATAGATGATAAAATATGAATAGTATTTTACGTGTGACTAATTTATTTTAATTTTTCATAAACTTTTCAAATAAAGAGAATTGCATGCCATTACTTTCACCCCCTGACACGAAATAGCCATTTATAAAATTATGAATTGCAAATTTACCACTGAAAACAATTGGGCAGCGTTAGGCTGCAGCGCGGTGGCTGCGGCAGGTGTCGACATCGACTGTGGTGCTTGCGGTGGCTTGTGGCGATAGCTGCAGCGGGCTGCATCAAAGCAGGTACAATAGCAGGTTATTTTCTTTCTTTTGAGGAAAGTCCACGGGAGATTTGGCTGGCAGGGATGTAATCATCGTTTCAACCTCCTAGACGAAAACCTTGCATCCTGCCAGATTGGTAGAACTTGTCTTGACAAAATTTGTACGGGGAGATGTGTTGAGTAGATTGGAGCAACGTCTACTTCTCCTTTTTAAAAACTTTGCATCCTGTAGGAGAGTGAAGGTTGGTTTTTTGGATGGGATACCATTGCTTCTGGATCTTGTTTCTATACCTTATTTGTTGATCTGCGGGCCTCGGCTGCTAGTAGACGAGTAGTTAAAAGAGGCGGTGAAATAACGAGGACTAGAAAGGTGATGCTTCCGACTTGAAAGAAGATGAATGTCGGCTGGGTTGGGCCTCCCAAGCCAATCTTCATTGGAGAAACCACCTCCTGTGGTAATCTCGGCGAAACCTCCAAGCACCAAGTCCCTTATCTGACATGCTGCTATCGATGGGTTAGAGCTCTAGGATATGTTACACTAGATACAAGAGGGGAGCAAGCTAATTTAGCATACCACGATATAACTAATCTGGCGACTTGTAGTAAGTGGCTAACTTTAGTGCATCCTCCTGGTTGGTCCTTGATGTGGCTTGTGGCTATAGCTTGCGATTCAAAGAAAATTCAAGGAAAAAAATATATGTAACCATATATGTAGTGGAAACTATCATTGGATTAAAAAATGAACGCCTGAGTAAGATTTTACTCATGGTTGACTTTGAGAATAATTTTTTTACTTTTGGTGATATGGACAAATCTCAGACGTCTATTTTTAAGATCCAACAGTAATTTCTAAGTTTTCACTATATTTGTGGTTTGCAATATATATTTACCCATAATTCAATACCTTTCCCTCGTAATTTCCACTACATATATAGTATTTTTACATGCAGATGACCAATCAAGTAAAACTTGGAGACTGTAAGTGAGGTACGAGCAGATAAGAAGATCGGAGTCAAACATCTTCTCTTAACGGGGAATGAATTTCCATCTTATCGGTAAAAGTACCATTCCGTAAAAAACTAGTTACATGGTTTTCAGCTGTTACAAATACAAATAAATGAGGTATATCTTATCAGTTACACTGAAAATATTATTATATTTTTAAACATATTTGATATATGACCTGAATTGAATTAAAGCTTATTTGAACGGATGGTTAGAAAATTATCATTTCCACTGCCACGAAAAATGTTATGCAGTAGTAATACTAATCTACTCCAATGGCATGCTCAGATTAGCAAGATGGTAATATTGTTAAAATTTTGACATGATTTTTATGTATTTACTAAATTTGACGATAAACTAAATATATGTATTTTTATAACTTTATTAGAAAATGGTATGATTGAAAATGACATTAATCATATGCCCTAAATTTACTGACGTCTTGTTTGGCAACTTGAGGGAAGGGGATTGGGAGTTTACACGGAATTGATGGTGAGATTAAGATGTGAATTTGATTTTTCATCCTAGTCTCTTGTTTGGTAGAGGTGGTGGAAATTGATAGGGAGTTTAGTTAAAGATTAGATCATTAATGAAAACGGATGGCTGAGATTTGCTTAGACGAAGTAAAGGAGGAATTCCCTCCCAATTATCTGCCCCTACCCAGGTATTGAAAAGGAGGGAGTTTATTCCTCAATTCCCCATCCCATCCCACCAAAATTCCCATATCTCCCAACCAAACAAAACAGTTAATAGCCTTATCCCTCTAAACTACCAATCCCTTCTGAAAACTCCCTCCAACCAAAAAGACCGTAAAAAGAAAACCAACCAAACAGACCGTAAAAAGAAAAGAAAAGGAGAGAGAGAAAGAAAAGGGATAACGCACGGCGCACTTCGAAACCCCTCCTAAACCACGCGTGACCCAATCGCAATGGCGACGCCGCCGGAATCCCTCTCACCGGCTGCAGCGGCGGTGGAGGATGATTGGGAGGAGGCGCGGGGGCTGCTGTACGAGGCCTACAACGAGCTGCAGGGCCTGGCGGCGGAGCTGGGCGGCGCGGCGGCGCCCGCGCCAGCGGTGGTGGTCGTCGGCCACCAGACGGACGGCAAGAGCGCGCTGGTCGAGGCGCTGATGGGGTTCCAGTTCAACCACGTCGGCGGAGGCACCAAGACGCGCCGCCCCGTCGCGCTCCACCTCCGCTTCAACCCGCGCTGCCACGCCCCGCGCTGCCGCCTCCTCGCCGGCTCGGGCGCGGGGGACGACGAGGACGAAGAGGCCGGTGTCGCCGGCCGCGCAATGCCGCTCGCCGACATCCAGGTACCGTGCGCACACGTGTTCGTGGAAATGCCAGTGTCGTGTGTTGCGCCTATCCGTTCCAATCTGATGGCATCTCTATTATGACAGCATTATTCATGTAATTGCTGGTGTCATATGCTAGCAGGAGGTTTTGTGGTGCTAGGAAATGATTTATTTGCGAAATTGGTGAAATATAAAACTCGTTTAAGAAGAACCAGGAAGGGGGGAAATGAGGGCATGAGGTGTATGAATGTAATGTAACGCACTTCATTTGTTTGTGTGATTATCCTTTCTGTAGCTATGTTATGCTGTACTAGGCTAGCTTAACTAACTCTATCTGTCTACTATGAATTCAATGTTGTGGTTTCGGCTAGTATGATATCGGTATTAGGTAACTTAATGAATGAGATCGAAGGGAGGGAGCCGTGTTACTGATATTTTCTTAAGAAAAGAGGATTCTAGCCTCTATGGGCTAGTACACCAACTATGCTGATAACCGCTAGATGCCAGGAGTCTAACCTTTGCCGATTAAATGATGAATAGATGCTATATTCACTATAAAGGGTAGTTATGTCAATACTCAATATAAATAGTTTTGACGCCAAACTGATACGAGAATTTTCCCAGTTGTTAATTATTTATTATTGTCAACCTGAAACATCAATATTTTATTTTAGCTGTTTCATTTGTAAGAAACAAATGTTCACTTGTTGATTTCATTATTATCAACTTACAGCTTAGAACTCAGAGAAGATTCAAGTTATTGGACTGTTCTTGCATTAGGTGATTGACATTTTATAGGAATATTTACTTTCAGGCATACATAGAAGCCGAAAACATGAGGCTGGAGAATGATCCTTCCCAATTTTCAGAAAAAGAAATTATAATAAGGATAGAATACAAGCATTGCCCTAATCTCACCATTATTGACACTCCAGGCCTCATCCTACCAGCTCCTGGCCGTAAAAACCGAGTTTTGCAGGTATTTCCCCCTATTCTTGCTTGCTGTCAGTTAAGGCTGATTCTTTTCAGCCTTTAAGGTCTTTTGTTTCCACTGAAACTTCACTTTCTATGACCCTACTATGAACTCCTTTTTATTATATTAATATTTAATAAGGTTATCCATTGGTAATCTTGCGACCTGCAGAGCCAAGCTTGTGCTGTAGAGACCCTTGTTCGTGCGAAAATAAAGCATAAGGAAACCATAATACTTTGCCTTGAAGATTGTAGTGACTGGAGCAATGCAACTACAAGGAGAGTGGTGATGCAGGTTTGCACTTTAAAACTAGCTTTTCTTATCAAAAGGTGCTCAATGACATTCTCATGGTCTCTTGTGATTCCACATTAGTTGTACCTTATTTACTGGGTTACTATGTTTAAACAAAAGGCGTGCTTACTATATCAAGTTCAAACTTCAAACGTTCAACACACAATTATTTTGTTAACCTGTAAGCAGTGCCAGTAAGCTATGTTTTGTGTTTCCCTTTTTCATACTGCAGGTTGATCCTGATCTTGCAAGGACTGTTCTAGTCTCCACAAAACTGGACACTAAAATTTTACAGTTTGCACGAGCCTCTGATGTTGAAGTCTTTCTTCACCCCCCGACCTGTGCTCTAGATGGTTCCTTACTGGGGGATTATCCCTTTTTCACATCAGTGCCTTCGGGGAGAGTTGGCTCCTGCCATGAAGCTGTATTCAGATCAAATGAAGAGTTCAAGAAGGTGAGACATCACGTGCCAGTATCACTTAACATAGAGATTTATGTTCTGCCAAAGTGTTCGAATAATTTTCTTTTGCTGGCAAGTTTGATGGGTGTTACTTTGTTAAGTCACTGTGAGTTTTGTAAGCAATATGTGGGCAAGCCAATTGGTCATCTGGTCCTATTTGCTGTGAAATTTTTACATTATCAAGGAAGATTACCTGATTATTAAATGATAAATTAGAAACAATTATTAATTTGTTTTATATGGATGCAAATCTACATTTTAAGTATTGTAGGTTCCAGAATTTAAAATTTGCAGGTAACTTTTAGAATATAGTTATATATGTGAAAAACCCATGTAGGTTTAAATATTTTTGTAGGCAGTTGGGTTTTACTCCGTAGTTAACTATTCTGGAGTTACACTATATGTTTCATGATAGCTTGTGGATCTTGTAATACATGGAAATACCCGATACTTCCCAAACTCTATAAATGGCTACCCTTAAATATGCTCCCATATTTCTGCGCACTTTTATATGATCAAGACATCACAGGAAGAAAGTGTTACAAACACATAATCCTACTTCACTACTGCTTATTTCTTAGTTTCAGTAATGTAAATAGACTGATCACCCTTAAATATTACTGTTCGGGAAGGACATTTGAAATGTGACGAATAACTTCTTTGTTGAACATAAATGCTGCCAGCATTCTTCTCTGTTGTCACCTGTTTAGTCAGTTTCAGTATGCTTTTTCGCTGATATGAACTCTACTAATCTGGTAACTTCTGTCTTACCTTCATCCTTGAATTGCCTCTAATGGTTACTTTCATTCTGCAGGCCATCTCATTGAGAGAGTTGGAAGATGTCGCATCTCTTGAGGACAAGTTGGGAAGGGGACTTACAAAGGAGGAGAAAAACAGAATAGGAGTGAGTAACTTGAGACTATTTTTGGAAGAATTGCTGAGGAAGAGGTATCCTTGCTCATTATAGAGCTGGCATGTGTATGTTTTTTAATTATTCTTCGTATCATTGCTTTGAAGTAATGCATACTAATATGGCCAAGGTACATTGAGAGTGTTCCATTAATTATTCCACTTCTTGAGAAGGAACATCGTGGTGCAACAAGGAAGCTGCGTGAAGTCAATCAAGAAATCAGGTGATTCATGATGCCTATCATTCATAGCACACTTAAAAGGATGGATTAATTTCCTCCTTAAATTACTTGTATTTGTTTCCATATAATAAATTTTTCTTTGGTGAAGTTGAAAGCTTATAACGAAAACAAGGCTCAAATGTTTTATTCTTACTGGGAAAATCGCTGCCAACTACTAGCACCTAATTGCAAATAACTGTCCTGGTGGACTATATTAGTTGACATTCTAGTAGGCTAGTAGCACCCTCATAAAGATTCAAGAACCATCACGCTACCATGGTTTATGTTATCTTTCTTCAGTCCCAATGCAGTGCTATCAGATGCAACCTTGAGGCCGGGAGCTGCAACAGTGCAACCTCCAATTCCTTGGCTTCTATGCTATGCTTCGCCAAAACATTCAATCATGAGCCAATTACAAGTGAAAATTATTCCTTGCTTTCCAGATTGACCAAGTGTAGCAGCAGTAAATTTATTCACTACTTATTTCTGGAATCACTTACAAAGTTGAGTGACAGCCTCAAAATCTCAACCAATTTATCTCCGGAATAGATCCGATTTATCTGAAATCTCATGCTAAATTATTTGAGCAATGCCAGAACCAAAGAACAAATGATGAATATTACACGGGATATTACAACAAGAACATCAACTGAAGATTGGAAATTTGTTAGCCATACAATGCCAAATTGAAATTTAACTTTGTACTAAGCCTTGCCCTGATGGGTTTGTTTGAGTCTTCTTAGATTCTTTTCCTTCTTAATATAATGATGCGCAGCTCTCTTGCACATTTGATTAAAAAAAAAAGATCCATCCCAGGCATCAGCAATAAATCTTTACTGTTCACTGAGTGAAATTTAAGCCTCCTAATATTGAATGGCAAGGCTGGAAGAAGCAAACCAATGACCCTCCCAGAATAAAACTCAAACATGTTATTTATTTTTCCTTTTTCCCCTTGTGTGCCTTTACACGGTTCCACCATATATTTATCCCTGTTGTTAAACATGCCTGATATACCCTGCTGATGGTATATGTATCTGGACAGTGATTTGGATGAAGCAAAAATGAAGGAGAAAGCTCGCCTGTTCCATGATTCATTCTTGTCGAAGGTGCTTACTACTCTGAAACATATATTATTGTTGATGCAGATAGTTGGATACTGAAACTTTTGCAATGAAGAAAAGTTCATGCGTTGTCACACATATGCAGCCAATGCCCACTGGATCTATTGCTCAGCAGCTGGTTGAAATAAACCTGAATACTGATTTACTGTTTCTTGTTTCAGTTATCTTTGCTATTGAAAGGCATGGTGGTGGCACCGCCTGATAGATTTGGTGGGTGTTTTATCTTGTGCGGCTCGGTACCAGAAAACTTGAGGTTCTTCTTAGTTGGCTGACTTTCTGATTTTGTCAATAATTTATTGAAACTGTTATTGGAGTGTAGGAGAAACTTTAATTAACGAGAGGATAAATGGAGGAACTTTTACTGGAAGTGAGAATTTCCTGATCCCAAACAAATTGATGCCTGTAAGTTCTGTTTTTTTCCTCTGTATTGAAGATGCCCTACTATTTTCTGTAGGTTCTTATTTTGAGCCTTTAAACAGGATGTAATGATTCTTCACTGTAGATAAACATTTTAATAGATTGTATCTAAATTGGTGGTTCTTGACGAGCCTAAAGTTTGTTAGCAGTGACAGATTGATTTATGTAGCAGTAGAGTCATTTTTCTTTCAGATAAAGACAAAAAGTCTACCATATCTATCGTCTTTTCAGCCTGTTAAAACAAAATTATCCACTGAGTGTTTGACACACTGTCTTTTGAATATGCACTCATTATACCTTTTCTTTTCTTAGAATGCTGGAATGCGTCTCTACGGTGGCGCACAATACCATCGGGCAATGGCTGAATTTCGTCTGGTTGTTGGAAGTATTAGATGCCCTCCAATTACTAGGGAGGAAATTGTCAATGCTTGTGGTGTGGAAGATATTCATGATGGGACAAACTACTCCAGGTAGTCTCATTCCATATATCAGGCATACTTTGACTATATTTATATAGCACATTTACTCATTTTCAACTTTTTTTGTTAGGACTGCTTGTGTGTTAGCTGTGGCAAAAGCACGTGACACATTTGAGCCTTATCTTCACCAGGTTGGTTAGCTTACCTCATGGGTGGGCACATTAATAATCACATTTAGATGGTCCTGTTCAGCTTTCATGATTGTTATTCCACACTTGAGCTACTGGAATAGTACTTGCTTTTGTGTGATTATGTCAATAAAATCATCAACCGATTTTTTTCATGCACGTCCCATCATTTTTTGGATCAAGTTCAGAACTAGAGTGTGCCAGGGTTCCACAGAAAATGTGTGAAATCAATAAAAAATGTAACATGATGTATAAACAAATTTAGTAATTGAATTAATTTGTTGTGGTCTGTATGAGGGGTGATATTTCCTCTGCTTAATCCCTTTCTGCGATTAAAATCTATCCTTAATTATGTGCAGCTGGGTTTTAGGTTATTATACATAATGAAGAGACTGATTCCGATATCTGCTTTTCTGTTGGAGGTACTAATTAATCCTGAAGTTATTCAGTTCAACTAGTATTCTGCTCTTTTCTTTTGTAATACCGTGATAGAATTCCAACAGAAAGATGGTGAGAACTGTAGCAGCCATGATGTACTTGTGAAGCGTGTCAAAGCTGTCAATTTGATAGAGTTTGCATGAATCTACTGAGCAATCATGTCGTGAAAGGTAATACTGTAAGAGCATCCTTGATTTCAATACCTTTATAATTGTTTCCCTTCTAGTGTACAACTCTTGTTCAAGTGGTCTTGCAAACTCAGTTCAACAAACTCTTTGATATCAAATGAAATGCATTTCCCTAGTTGATTATTGTGCTATCAGGCATACAGTATTTTATGGTGTTGGCAAACTAGTTAGTTTTTTTTTAATAGTGGTTCTACTTAGAAATGTATCAGCTGAATTATAATATCATTGAATAATAAAGTGCAAATGAAGTGAACTGAATGAGTTATCCGTATCTTTGTCATGTCTTCCCTCCTTTTTGATCTCATGGCATTAAATTTTGTGCGTTCCAGAGCATATTCATATTTGAAAAATGTGATTTTAGTGGTTTGTCTCATGTAAATATGACACAGAATTTAGTGTTGTGTCAAAGTAAAACTTTCTGTTATTGTCCAGATTTCTCCTGAATCTTCATGGCATGATGCATTCATGCATATTGTTTGTACCTGATGGTTCATGGCATGATGCATTCATGCATATTGTTTGTACCTGATGGCATGATTTATCTGCATGTTGAAATGTGTAATGCAGATGTATGGAGGATTTGGTGAGCACCACTCGTTATGTCACTTGGTCCCTTCACAATAAGGTACAGTTATTAATATTAATCAGAACTAGTATCTTTCGAGGGATTCGTCGCATTCCTAATGATTTGCTACATTGTATAGAACCGTGCCGGATTGAGACACTTCTTTGATTCCTTTGTTGCACAAGAGCAATTATCCGTGAACACACTTACTGCCCACTCGACTGGGCTGCATGAGCAATCCTTTGGCTTGAATGACAATAAGCAGGATAGGCCAAAGGGAGACTTCAAATCAAGTAATTCTTCAGAAGCAAATTCACCCACTGTTGCATCAGAGACTAGGCTTGTTGATCTCTTGGACAGCACACTATGGAACAGAAGGCTGGCACCCTCATCTGAAAGACTTGTGTATGCACTGGTTCACCAGATTTTCCATGGGATCAAAGAGCATTTTCTTGTCACCACAGAGCTTAAGGTCTCCCTGCAGTAAATCCTGCACTCCTTAACGAGTATATGAAGTTTATTGTTTATATCTTGTTTTGCTCATCAAAATTGCAGTTCAATTGCTTTCTCCTCATGCCGATTGTTGACAAATTACCGGCGCTTCTAAGAGAAGACCTTGAATCAGCCTTCGAAGATGATCTTGACAGCATATTTGATGTTACTCAGCTGCGCCATTCACTTGGGCAGAGGAAGAGAGATCTGGAGATCGAATTGAAGCGGGTACTAGTCTTTTGCGTATTTTTTTTTTGCACATCAAGCATTACTACCTCAGTATTCTTATTTGCAAATTTGCTGGTTTCAGATCAAACGCTTAAAGGAGAAATTCGCAGAGATAAACAAGAAGCTGAATTCTCTCCAGGTTAGACAGTAAGCTACTCTAGGAGAAGCAGAGCAACTAGCTACTCTAGTCGAGTTAGATTATTTCTATGCTGTAATAATAATAATCCCTTAGTGTGTAATAATAATAGTCTAGTGTGATTATGACTTCTTTGTTGGATCTTTTCATGTGTAAATATACATATATTAACCCTTCCAATGTCGTTTCCCTTCCTTGCAAACCGACTAACAAAGAACTTTTACGTGATGTTTACTGTTCAATTATTACCCTTACTTTGCTGTGAGATGGGTTCACTCAAGCTGAAGCAAATGCAAATGAAAAGCTGCTTATGGTCACATCACATGCATGGTAGCGACTGTTTCAACCCAAATCCATCACCAAAAAGCAGCAACTCTTCTTCCCCTTGCTCGCAACCTCTCAACCCATCACCCTAAACATAGGTATTACCCAACACCACCCCTCTCTCTCCCGCGCAAACCATGGTGGCTTGCTCCCCGCATTGGACACCGCCAAGAACGCGGCGTCGTCGACGACATGACCGGCGGTGACAAGGACCACCGCCGCGGCGGCAGCGGCGGCGGGAAGGAGACCTTCCTACGCAGCCTCGACCGCGTGCCGTCCGGCCTGCACATCGACGCCGACTTCCCCTCCGACGACGATGACGACGACGACGACGAGGAGGTCCGCGTCTCCTTCGCCTCCACCATGGGCGACCACAAGATGTACAGCTTCCGCCACCATCAGGCCGCCGTGCTGGAGGAGGAGGAGGAGGACGACGACGACGACGAGTTCTCCAAGTATGACATGGACGAGGACATGTCGATACAGGAGCGGCGCCGCCGTCTTCACCAGGGGCTCGGCCTCGCCAGCAGCCGGGATCTCGCGCTCCGGCGACATAGCACCAGAAGGCGCCTGGTGGACACGCCCGCGGAGCGTGTCCGAGGAGGCCCCCCGCTGCCTGTCGGCCGGCCCGGCACGCACGCGTGACCCCCCCGCCGCACCCACCACCGCGGCGGTGGTGGGGGGGGGTCCGGCCCCGGCGGCCGTCGGCGCGCGACATGGTGATGCAGCGGCCGGCGAAGCCCATCACGCGGCGCCGGTCCGACGGCTGCCGTCGCGGCGCGGGACGGCGGCTCCTCTGGAAAGCCACCACCGCCGTCGTCGCCGTCGGTGCGTCGTGTTCGATCCTTGCCGGCCCGGCACGCCGGCTGCGACGATGTCTCCCTCGTCGAGAAGTTTCGAAACGCCATGGCTAAACGTGATCTCCCCACCGCCGCCGTGCCCCCGACGACGCCGCCGCCGGCGGCGGCAGCGGCGGCGGCAGCGCCGGTGGATAAAGGCCGCACCGACGACGGCGGCGGCAAGGACCGCGACGACGCGACCAAGAACCAGGAGAGCAGCAAGGAGGTCGCCGTCGTCGCGGCGCCCAAGGATGCCGCCCCCGCGTCGAACACCCAGACCGGCGTGCAGCTGGGGCTAGAGGAGATCGAGAAGTTCATCGGCAACACCCCCATCGTGAAGCACCTGATGCGGCGCGGCCAGAGCCAGCATCACAGCGGCCAGCTCGCGTCGCCCTCCGGCGGCGCGCCGCCCAAGGCCGAGAAGCCGGCGGGCGGCAAGAAGAAGGGAGGCTGGCTCAAGAACATCAAGTCCGTCGCCATCGGCTTCATCGACAGCGGCGGCAACAGCAAGTCGACCACATCCACGACCACCTCCTCCGCCGGCGCCAACGCCACCTCGTCGTCGTCATCCTCGGCGTCGTCGACGGAGCGGCTCAAGGTGCACCAATCCGGCAAGTCGTGCAAGGAGCTCACCGGGCTGTACATGTGCCAGGAGATCATGGCGCACGAGGGGTCGATCTGGAGCATCAAGTTCAGCACCGACGGCCGGTGGCTGGCCAGCGCCGGCGAGGACCACGTGGTGCGCATCTGGCAGGTGGTGGAGGCGAACTCCCCGGCGTGCCTGCCGAACGACGGCCACTCGGGCCCCCTCCCGCCGCATCCCCCCGGCGCCGCGCCGGCGGACGGGACGTCGTCGTCGTCGACGCCAGCGCTGTCCCAGCTGTCCAAGAAGTCGGTGAAGGGGAAGAGCGGCAGGGACACGCTGCCGGAGCACCTCGTCGTCCCCGACAAGGTGTTCGCGCTCGCCGACCAGCCGGCGTGCGTCCTCGAGGGCCACCAGGACGACGTGCTCGACCTCACCTGGTCCAAGACCGACCAGCTTCTCTCCTCCTCCATGGACAAGACGGTGAGGCTTTGGGACACCACCACCAAGGCCTGCCTCAAGGTGTTCGCCCACAACGACTACGGTCAGCGTCGCCATTGATTCGTTTCTTTGTTTCGAAATCGATATCTCTTGACAATAATCCATCTCAAGAATTGAATTGAATTGATTTGATCGATCTTGCAGTGACTTGCATCCAGTTCAACCCGGCGGACGACAGGTTCTTCATCAGTGGATCGCTGGACGCCAAGGTGCGGCTATGGAGTATCCCTGATCGGCAGGTCGTCGACTGGACCGACCTCAACGAGATGGTCACCGCCGCCTCCTACACCCCCGATGGCCAGGTATCTACTCTCGCTAGTCTAATATAAAGTGAATTGTCCGTTTTTTCTCATCAGCTTAAGCTTTTTAAGTTGAACTAGTTGGTGCATACAACTCAATATTCACTGTCATTTCATCTTCCATAGCTCAACAATTCCGTATCCATTTTACTTCTCTTTTTTTCTCTGAATTCTGATGTGTGAACAATTCGAATCAAGGGCGCCATCATCGGCTCGCACAAGGGTAGCTGCCGGTTCTACAAGACAACAGGTAGTACAGTACATTCTCTGTTCTTCATTGACTCATCAGATGATCAGACTGACATCCAGTTGCACTGAAGTGATCAATTTGATTGCGGATTTTTTTGGGTTTTGTTGCAGATTGCAAGCTGGATCAGGAGGCGCAGATCGACATCGAGACGAAGAAGCGCAAGTCGCAGGCGAAGAAGATCACCGGCTTCCAGGTACATGAACACAATGCATCACACTTTGACTAGCTGCTGAAATTTAAGAGCTTGGCAAGAACATGGCCTAATTGTTCATCTTGGCCATGGCCATGGACACCTCAGTTTGCTCCGGGGAACCCCTCCGAGGTGCTGGTCACCTCCGCCGACTCGCAGATCCGCGTCTTCGACGGCGTCACCATGGTCCAAAAATTCAGAGGTGCGCTGGCGGCGGCCATGGATGAGAAAATCTCAGCTCTAATTGAAAATCAGAGAGATCAATTAATGGTGGTGGTGTCCGTGGTGGATGTCAGGTTTCAAGAACACGAGCAGCCAGATCTCGGCGGCGTACACGTCGGACGGGCGGTACGTGGTGTGCCCGAGCGAGGACTCGCACGTCTACCTGTGGCGCGCGGCGCGCGGCGCGCCGCCGGCGGCGGCGGCCATCGGCAGCATCGGCGGCATCGGCATGAAGCCCAAGACGTGGTGCACCATCCGCTCCTTCGAGAACTTCTACTGCAAGGACGTCTCCGCCGCCGTGCCGTGGCCGCTGGCCCCCTCCGGCGCCGGCGGCGACGGGTCGACCTCCGGCAGCTCGCCGTCGCGGCGGCAGGGCGGCGTGTCGTGCACCGACGACGTGTGCAGCATGCCGGCGAAGAGCGGCGAGCTGGGCAGCGCCGGGACGCCGCTGACGCACTCCGGCCAGCTAGGCTCGCCGGCGCCAGGAGGCGGCAAGGGCGGCGCCGACGGCAATGCGTGGGGATTGGTGGTGGTGACGGCGAGCTTACAGGGCGAGATTAGGGTTTATCAAAACTTTGGAATGCCGTTCAGGATAAGAGGCCAGGGTAACCTGTTCTACTGACTACTGAACAAATGCTGCCATGCGTATGAACATTTTTGATGATTTTATTTTTTTTCGTAATTTTTTTATCCATTTTCAGAACTGAGAAGTGTGTGTGCTTAGATCTAGTACATGTGCAATATGTTCAGTTGACTACCATATGTAGGTAGTAGAATTATGGATTAATTTCGCCATGTAACAAGTTAGTGAATTAGTGGGATGTACATCCAACTCTACAAAATGAAATTCATTACATTTGTCTTTGTACCAAATTTGCACTACACACACCATAATTATATAGCACATGATACTGCTGTGTAAAAACAACTAGATTAGCAATATACTTATATATTTTTAGAAATATCTTAAATCGTTTAAAATCTCTGATGGCTGGTTGACATTGGCCATTCCATTCTTCAACATCTTCCTAAAATCCTAGTGGCCGCCATCGGTTTCCTCTTGACCTTGTCAATGCCGATAAACATAAACTTTCCTCATGGTTAAAGGGGAGTTGAGAGAAAAGAGAGGAGGAGAGCAGTGGCTTTCCAGTTTCCCCACTAAACAACAACGCTATCCGAATTCAAATCCTATTTTCCAAATTCAACAAGAATTATACTACGTTAGATTGTTTTGACCAAGACGTGTTTATTTTAGGCTTTCATTCACTTTTATATTTTATCAATAAAATACTTCCCATTGGCCACCAAATGTGTGGCAGGGGAGAAGGAAAAAAATTAATGAGGGCAAGATTGAAATGTGTACCCCGGGACTTAAGGGGATCTATGTTATGGGGGAAACAAATCCTCCAACTTAACTGCACGCTGCAGTTGAGTCACTGACATGTCGATCCCATTTTTCTATAGCCCACATGTCATGGTTTAACTGCACAACAGTTATAGGATCCCTTCCCAATCTACATTATAGTGGGGAGCTACTAGTAACGATAAAATCAGTTTGTGATTCAATAGCATGAACATTGCATCTGAAAGAGTCATTCACAATGCATCAAATGCATCAACTTGGTATGTTGGTGCAATTTGGTACAAGAATTTAAAAAATGTGCGCTCTAGCTAGCGCAACAAGGTGTGTGCAATTTAGTGTAGGAACTTTATAAGTTAGCGTACAAGTGCAACAACTTGCAATGTGTGTGTGTTTTCTATACAACAAGTTAAGAAGTCATGCGATAACTTAATTATTTCAAAGAATTTTTTGTAATATACATTGTCAGGGCTATGGATACCACATACCCAATAGTAATTGACTAAGCTCGGCGGAACCCACCATATACCAAGTCTTATATGGAATTATACTTCGTATATAGAAGGAGATCTGGATAAGGCATGGCAAAAAAGAGTTCTACATGGAAACTATAAAGACTACTCGGATTGTATCCATATTGGTCTCCTTAGTTCTACTTGAATAGGGGGACATATATGGGTATAAATACAAGACCCCCTAGGGAGGGGAAGACAAGTCCAGACAAATCAAGAAGCTCAGTTAGAATAGACACAAATACACACCGCCAGACATCGACATCAAAGATCAGCCTAAACAAACCCAATCTGGTGCGATCAGTGGCCAACAAAAGGGATCTAGCGCTATCTCCGATCTCGTCGAGTATGTATTCGAGGAGGAAGACTACCCCATCATCGACTACGAGTTGGTGTTCCATGCCGCCAAGTCAACGATGACTAGATAAGTTATCCCAAATATTGTACTTGTTTGATTATGATGAATAAGAGCAATACCGGCTCCGGTCAATAGGAGTAGGGTTATTACCTTCCGGTGAAGGAGCCCGAACTTATATAAAAATCATTTGTCTCTATCACTTTTACCTTAATCTCGCATATACCATGGTACCAACAATCCCCATACCATGCAAATACTGTAATTGTGATCTAAAACGTCAACAACACTGATTGTATTTAGCTTATTTTGGATTGTAAGTACTACTTCAGTGAAATCCAGAAGCAAGTAAAACACTTGTTTCTCTTAGCTAGAAGAACATCTCCGGTCCACCTCCACCATCACCGGCAACAGCTTGCACCTGCGGCACAAGGTGACAAAGAAGAGACGCCATGGATGGATGGCGAGCTCAGCTCAGCTCTGAATGGGGGAAATGGCGAAAGAATGTGGTATGTAGTGACCTTTTCTTGAGCTTGGAGAAGAAATGGTCGGCGTGGAGGAGGTCGTATGATCTAGGGTAGGTGCTGAAGGACTCGCACCAGTCATGGTACATGCCGAACAGCCCTCGCTCGTAGATGATCGGCAGCGTGTCCGGCGAGTCCACCGACACCACGTTCATCACCCACACATTCATGTCCTTCAACGCTGCCGCGAACCTGATCAAGGAAGAAGATGACAATGCCATTGATGCGATGCGAGATGAGATGTTTGGATGAGAGTGGATTTTAAACTGTCGAGGGAATGTCCCCTTATTTACTTTTTTTCTTATAAATTCAATGCAAATAGTTGTAAAACATTATAAATTTTTTTTGATAATAATATAGAATATAACAACATCTATCAGTACATAAAAATCAAGTTAAATGCAACCTACAGATAAAAAATTCGGGTGTAATATCTCGATGAGTGAGCTGAGTTTGGATTTAAAATTTTGTGAAGTGATATATCTATATATCCTGTATGGGTGTTGTCAAAAAAATTTTAAGATTTTTTTTTATAATCGTTTGAATGGTTTTTTAAAATAAACTGGAGGGATCAAGATAGTTTCCAATCGTGTAGTGGTGTCGTACCCGCCGTAGACGGCTAGCTTGTCCATGACGTTCCTGACGTTGCTCCAGTCGATGCTGACGCCAGCGAGGTACGAGCTATTGACGACGTGGCCCCAGTGCCACATCCCATAACCACGGAGTCCGGCAGGGCGTACCTTCCTCCAGCCTACTACACTCTCTCGAAAGAAGAGAAGATTCATTTGCTGACATGTCTGAGTGGTATAAAGGTTCCATCTAGTTACTCATCAAAAATTAGGAGGTTTGTTTCACTTCAAGACCTTAAATTGATAGTAATGAAGTCGCATGATTGCCACGTTCTTATCACACAGCTTTTGGTGGGCAGGCGGTGCATGCACGCCCGCAGCGTGATGTTCCACGTGGCGTCGGGGTCATCGTCGGCGTCGCAGAGCGGCAGCTCCGTCTGCTGTAGCGAATTCTGTCCAATTCAAAAAAAAAAGAATTATATGTGACGCGGTAAAAAAAATCGAATCCTATTATATGTGACACAGTACTATATATCTCTATCCTCTCTATCTCTTTCTCTTCTCTACTACTTAAAAAATTGAAACGTTTCCGTCAGCCGTAATAACGAAAAAATGACGAAAAAAACTTTAAAACAAAGAAAAAAGAAAGTCCGATTCAATTTACTTCCGTCGTCCGTGAAAATCTTATCTTATCTTAATCTCAATCTTTCCGAGGGGACCGAGCGGCGCCCTCCGTTCCTGCCTGCGCGATGAAACGCCGGCCAAAGCAAAAAAAAAAACAAAATTGAGCAAAGGAATAAACTAGATTGAAGTTCCCAAAATTAAAAGAGGATAAACAATATTGAAACTCCCCAAACTCAAAAAGAGGGAATAAAATAAATTGAAATTTCCCGACAAAATTCCCCAAATTCGAAGGGCCCTAATTTCAGGTAAGAACCCTAAGAGTCAAAATCCAAATCAATTAAGATAAGGGTTTGGGTTACTTGCCGGACTTGAAGCCCCTAAGCTCACCGGAGCTTTCCGGGAAGGGCACCACCGCACCTTCACCCTCCTCACAGTCGCGTCGGGTTCCCCGTGCGCGCGCTATCCTGGAGCACCCCTTCACCGTCCCTTGCCGAAGACGGGAAGCGTCGGCTTGGCGTTGCCCCTCCCGCCGATGAGGTCCAGGCCGCTCGGCGCTCGTCGCCATTTGCGTGCCCGCCTAGCAGGACTGCCAACGCCATGGCACCAATTTGCGCCGCCCTCGGGTGCGCCCCCAGCTGGCGAAGCAGGAGCCGCTCGGCGGTCGTCACCGCACGCACGCACCAGCTCACCGGACCGCCATCGCCGCCTTCGCCGTCGTTCCGCTCGCTGGTCCCCGGAGAGAAATTGGATCAGGAGAGAGGGATTTGGGAGCTAGGGTTTTGCCCCTCTCTCCTGGTCGGCGCTTCATCCAGCGCGGGGACGATCGGAGCTGTGCATTAGATCGGATGGCTTAGATTCGCCCAACGTCGAGCTGCCGTCGCCGCTGATTACGCTACGCCCAATGGGCCGTGGAAGTGCATTGAGCCGTCCTCACATATGTGGGCTGCGCTCAGCTGCTCGGCTTGCGGGCCGTCGAATTAACTTGGCTCGCCGAAGATGGGCTCGTTGAAGTTTGGGCCAGCTTGGGAAGATCCGGGCCAAAAGAAAATTTGATCAACCAATGTGGCTCAGATTTTTTTAAATTAAAGTCCGTCGGATAAACTTCTAAGTAGGCTCGAAAAAATAAATCTAAAACTAAATCCTAAATCCTATACTAATTCATCAAATTAGACTCGGTTCTACCTATTTGTTCATATATCAAATTAGACTTGATTTTTACCGATTTGAGGTTTTCAAGGTGTCACACTATCAAAATGGTGTTTTTCCCGTTGCAACGCATGGGCACTATTGCTAGCAGAGTATAAAACTAAAAATAGTTTGAAAATAATTATCTATAAGCAACGATGACGAAGAAAGTTTGTGGAGAATTCGTACTTTTGAAGCATGGCAGGTGTTATTAGGTTGATATTACATATTTATATGTTTGTCAAATACAACCCACAATGCATACCACACACATTCCTGAAGGTTATATTTCTAGTTACTATGAATAAGGTAATGGCAGAGGTGACTATTGATATAATCATGCAATCTTAGGTCCCATAGACTTAGAATTTTCTTTAAGAACTGCCTTTCTCTGTGTTTCTTTACTGAGATTTTGCACAATGCTCTGAACAATACGGTACGGACTTGGTTGCTGGTGCTGATCAAATATTGGTCACATGGTGCTGTACACCGGGATATGTTTTGCTGTTGGTCCTCTTGCACGGCTATTAACAATCCTGAAGAGGATGATAGACAACCTTTTTTTTGAAAATTTCATTCCGAAATTATGGAATCCATTTGACAAATCAAAATAATATATAATCGCAACTTCACAAAGAGATAAAAAAACGCAAATTACATTGGTTACTAAAAAAGTACTATGACTTGAATGTAGAAGTTGATAACACATAACTAGCTTAGAGCGTTAGACACCCAGTTATGTTCGATCACTAAGCTAGCTTATGGTTCAATCGTGATATTGATGGTGGCATGGCTGGCAGTGCTGCCATTGACGTCGTCGTCATTGCTGACAGGGGCGACGATGCTGGTGTCCTTGGCGATGGGGGCGACGGTTGGCAGCTCAAGGTTCTTATCCTGCTTCTTGGGTGTGGTCCGGTAGTAGATGGCATAGAGGATGAGTTGCATGATAGCAAAGAGCACGCCAAGACCATTGGGGATGGTGATGAAGATGTCGAAGCGGATGAGCGCGTATAACGTCCAGCAAAGGCCGTTGAGGAAGCTCACCACCGATAGCAGCAACGGCATGTACTCCACGCTCTTCGTCTTCACAACCATGATGGTGAGTGGTGAGGAGTACATGATGGTGCCAAAGATGACGCAGAGGATACCGACGATCAAAGAGCGCCTCTGATGGGTGTGCGCGCCCAAAAGCACACCGACCGCTACCGCCGCCATGAAGAGAGCCTCCGTAGCGAGCACCACTCCCATTTTCTTCTTGTTCTTCTTGTCGGAGAAGAGGAAGAAGATGGTAAGGTAGACGGCCTCTATGACGAGGCTAATGCCGTTGATGGTGACGACGAGGATGCTGTTGGGATGGACGATAGGGAGGACGTAGAAGACCCAAAGCATATGCAATTGAGTAGCGTGGCCAGGTACGGGTCCGCCTTGAAGTTCTGCACATTCTTATTCTTGATGATCCGCCAGAAAATGGGCACCGGCGAGAGGAAGAGGCCAAAGGAGATGACGTTGCCGACGATGCCCACCACGTTGCGGATCAAGTCCGGGGACACCATCTCGCCGGCTGGTGGCGGCGGACGTCGATCGCCTTCCTGTTTGCTTGGTTTGCGCGCTGAAAATATTTCAGGCTGAAATTGCTCGCCTGATCGTACACGTAGCGGTTGGTGTTGGTTTGGTTGGTAGCTCGTTGAAGCGGCGTAGGGCTGGATTTATACACGTCGCGTACGTCCGAGGTACGCTCTGGAATCTGGATAGGGTCGGTGTCGGAGTCCCGGTGACGGGGAACAAAATTAGGAAAGCTCGTTCCGTGTCGGCCACCATTTCCGAGTCGGAATAAGTTCATCTGAGGTCCCTTAACTTATCAACGAATTCGATTTTCGTCCTTGAACCCCAAAACCAGATATAACGGGTCCCTCAACTATCAAAACCGGTGCATATAAGGTCCCTCGGCGGTTTAGATGGTGGTTTTGGCTGACGTGGCAGCTACGTGGCGAATTTGACTCGGTCACGTGGTGCTTACGTGGCAATTCGACCAAAAAATAATAATAAACCTTGTGGGGCCCACATATCAGTTTCATATACAAATTAATAAAAATGGTGGGACCCACGTGGGCCCCACAAGTCATTCTCACCCTCATCTTCTTCCTCCTGACCTCACCATCTGCGGCCCCGCCACCGTTTCCACCGTCCTCCACGCCGCTCACTGACCTCGACGGCGTCCTCGCTATGGGTGGTGGCGGGCGAGCTCCCGCTTCTCTCCACCTGCTTCCCCGCCGCCGCTGTCGAAGACGACGACGCCGATGGCGACGGGTTTGAGGAGGGCACCGGGCCACCGATGCGGCTATTGGGCGTCGGCGGCGCGGGAGCAGGGCGGTGGCGGCGCGCAGGGCCACAGGGTGCAAGCGGCGGTGGCGTCAAGGAGGGCGTCGGCGGCGCGCGGGGCCCCAGGGCGCAAGCGGTAGTGACTAGTGACTGGCGGCGGTGGCGCAGGAGCGGAGCGTCGGGACGCAAGCGGCGCCGTGGAGGAGGGCGTCGTCGGCGTCGGGCGCCCTTGATCTGGTCGGCCGCCAGCTTCCGGAAGCGAACGGTGAGCACGTCGCCATTTTCTCCTTCTCCCCTCTCCACGACTTCACAGGGATTGGAAACTGCTTGCTGCAGTTGCTGTTCGATTCTATTTCTACAATTCTACTCACGATACAATCCATTATTTCCCTCAGTAAATCCCGTTGAAATTTGAACAAAATTCAGTGCCAAAATGTTCGCTCACATCACACACGCTGCAGCATGACAAACAAATGTTCGCTCTACACACTTACGAACCACCGGATTTCGGCGGCGGCTGCTACGGCGACGGAGTGCAGATTCATCACCCTGACGAGGCTGCTACCGTCCTCGCCGTACCTGATGAGGTGGCCGTACATCCGCAGCCAGTGGTCGGAGGCCTCGTCGACGGTGCGGTAGGTCCAGATGTGTGGTCTGAGCCAGAGGCAGTCGACGTGCTCACCCCACGTGCCTCGTCTTCCATGCTGATAGTGGCTGCGGGGGGGTCTTCGTCCGGTGCTCCAGCCGCGGGCGAGGCTGACGCAGCCGCAGCCGCAGCCGGCACACGACGCCATCGAAGGTCCGTGACGTGCCTGTCGTCGGACCGGATACCGGCGACGCCGAGGCCGGGCAAGCACTCGACGAGGTTAGCCTCAGCTCGGTCACCGTTCCTGCCTCAGTGGTAACAGCCGAAGCAGGTAGAGGGGCTGGAGATCATCGAGGTCGCCACTGGCGAGCGGCTGTCCCGCCGGCTTCGTGCGCCGCCGCTCCGGCTGCCGTCGCCCCACTCCGCCCGCCGCCCAAGTCCACATCGTAGGAAAGAAGAGAGAGAGGGGATAGCAGGAAGAAGAGAGCAGTGAGGATGACATGTGGGGCCCACGTGGGTCCAACCTTTTTTTTTTGAAACTGACCATGTGGGCCCCACAATTTTATTATTTTTCTAGATCGAATTGCCACGTCAGCGCCACGTCAGATAAAGACCAAGTCAAAATAGCCACGTAAGCACCACGTCATCCAAAACCGCCCTCTAAACCGCCGGGGGACCTTATCTGCACCGGTTTTAATAGTTGAGGGACCCGTTGTATCTGGTTTTGGTGTTCAAGGACGAAAATCGGATTCGTTGACAAGTTAAGGGACCTCGGATGAACTTATTCCTTCCGAGTCTGAGCAGCGTACGGCCCATGGGCCATGGCCAAACGGACAGATCAGGGCCCGCTGGGCTAACTATGCGTGGGATGGAGGGAGTTCATGTTTCGCTCTTGTTCAGTTGTTTGTACGCCATTTGTTTCGGTTGAGGTCCCCAACTACCCATCGGTTGATCTAGTTTTATTATAAGCTGTAACGGCTTATTAGCGATTAAAAAAGATATGTAAGTAAAATTTTTTTGTATATATGTTCTTAGTGATCGAAAAGCCAAAGTAGAAAAAAATTATGTTGAAAAAGAATTAAAATCAAATTCAAAATTAAGTTTTAAAATTCAAATTTTGGCTTTGGCTTATAAGCCATAGGGCAAACAATAAGGCCATGTGATTTAACGAAAATGGTATTTTGCGGGCGCGTTGAGGGAGAATACTCCCCAGATCGACCCCAGTCCAGCCCTGCACGAGGCCTTTTTTTTTTTTTTGGCTGTCACCATTCTTGTAGGAGAGAACCCATTCTATACCATCGAGTTTGTTCGAGTCCAACGATTTGCCATCGACATTATATCTTTCTATAGTATACCAGCGACTTTTATCAATTGTTCTACGATATACCATTAAGTTGAGCCTTCTTTTTAAAAATACCTAAAATGCCCTTATAGACATATAAGGTTAACAATTGATTTATCCTATTAGAAGTTTCAGAAAAATATGAAAACTTTTACGTTGCCTCTATAAACAACATGGAAATTCGTATAGAAGTTTCAAGTTGTTACATTTCTATTTTTTATAAAAAAATATAACTTATTTGTTATATGTCATATAAAATACTTTTTATTGTTGTTTATAATATAAATCATATTTCATAAACTACATAAGGTATTTTTGTGGTATTATCTCTTTTATAAGCATATTTTCTCTCATATACGACATAAAAGTATTTTTTTTCTAAAAATTAAGTATCCAGAAAAAACTTGAAACTTGTATACAAACTTCTATGTTGTGTACATAGGCCACAGAAAAATTTTCATATTTTTGAGAAACTTCTAATAGAATAAATCAATTGTTAATTTTTTGTCTCTAGGGTATTTTGGGTATTTTTGAAAATAAGGCCCAACCAAATGGTGTATTATAGAACAAGGTGATAAAGTCGTTGGTATATTATAGAAAGAAACAATGTCGATGGCATATCATTGAACTCGGTATAGAATGGATTCTCTCTTCTTGTAGTGTTTATTATTGCTATTATTTGAACTAGAAGGTAGCCCGCGCATTCGCGCAGGCATTATTTTAGTTTGAAAATTTGTCCAATGTATAAATTCAAGTTCAAATTGAAAGTAAGATATTTTTTCCTTTTTCTAATTGAGCGTTCATCGGCACTCTCTTTTCCTAAGAAATTTGCAGAAACTTTGATTTCTAACGAATGTATTTTACTTGTAACATTAGGCTAGTGCTTTCTTAAGATTGGATGCTTGGGATTTTTGGTCAGTGTAGTGCTGAACTTCTAATACTTATAATTGATTGTCCGACTGGATTTAGATCGATCCTTTTGTGCCTTGTAAGCTGTATATACACGGACGAACACCGTCGCTAGATCGGACATGACGGATTTTTTTCCCTACAAACGGATGGGAGTTTGTGATAGAGATAGAGAATTGGACATATTCAATTTTTTTCGCTTTTTTTTACCGCGTCGATGGAATCGGATTCTTTTTTTTCGCCTGATTTTTTTTTTTCACGGACGACGGAAACATTTCTTATTTTTTTAATAGTAGAGATTAATAAAATACTTACCATTGGCCACCAAATGTGTGGCAGGGGAGAAGGAAAAAAATTAATGAGGGCAAGATTGAAATGTGTACCCTGGAACTTATAAGGGGATCTATGTTATGGGGGAAGCAGATCCTCCAACTTAACTATAGATGCAAGTCACTGACATGTGGATGTTATTTTGCTATGGCTTATATGTCATGGCTCAACTGCACAACAGTTAAGTTGTAGGATCCTTTCCTTATTTACATTATAGTGAGGAGCTACGATAGTAACGATAAAATCAGTTTGTGATTCAATAGCATGAACATTACATCTAAAAAGAGTAAATTGCATTCACAATGCATCAACTTGGTATGTTGCTGCAATTTGGTACAGGAATTAAAAAATGTGTGCTCTAGCGCAACGAGGTGTGTGCAATTTAGTGTAGGAACTTTATAAGTGAGCGTATAAGTGGAACAACTTGTAATGGGTGTGCGCTTTTGATACAACAAGTTAAGAAGTGATGCGACAACTTAATTATTACAAACATTTTTTAATACACGTTAAATTTTAAGTACTACTATTTTGTCAATATACTGTGTGTATTTTTAAGCATGTTTATAATTTCGTTCAGACAACTGAAAGTGAATTAAACTTTACTATGTAGAAAATATTATATTTCGGTTGAGATTTGAGAATATGAAGAAAAAAAATCAAACCAGATGTGCAAATAGGATGTGTAACGTAATTCTTAGAGATTGAATTCAAGATTATAAGGTAGTATCTGTAGGATTGCTATGTGATGACATATTGACATCGTGAAAAAAACTCAACTAGTATTTTTTAACCAAAACAACGTGTACCTAGCCAAGTTGTTGCAGCATAATACTAAATTACTAAGTTCTTGTACTATACCGTATCCTTTTACTGAGTTGTTGTATGGTGGTTCAATTTACTCTCAGCCTCATCGGATGGCCAAATGCTTTAGCTGATCAGCCATTTAAGTAAAATAAGCTAACCAATATGCATTGAAGTTTGGCTAAATTGGAGGTAGCTTTGGCTGATCAGACAAAGCATTTGGCCATCCGATGAGGCGCTCTCTAAACAATACTGTGGTGGCGTGTACAGTAGCTCTATCATCTCATCCGCCCATTCTAGAACTAATGGTATAAATGCATGACAACTAGCAAATGCACCGCGCTGTTCACCTCTACTGGTTCCGGATCCCATTTGCAGAAATCAAAACTGCTCTTCAAACGCTCAATTATGGTTTATGCTCTTGTGTGACTTAAGTGTACTTGTTAACAATATCACAAATTGCCGCGCAAACTAAATTGTCACTCACTATGCAAACTAAAAGTTGTTTACGTTTTGGGCTAAAGCAAAAAATAAATCAATTCACATGCCGGTAGCATGAGAAATATGGTGCGAGCGGAACAAATGAGCATTTCAGAATCAGGAAAAATCCCTGCCGCGGCTGCTAGACAATATACAGGACGAAATCAAGCTATGGAAGATATGTGGAACAACAAATATCACGAGATTATCTGCCTAGAACATTTTCATTGTTTTAGTAGTAGCTTCTTTCTCTCCCCTCTCTCTCTCTTTCACCATTTTGGTGATCTTGTAAATACTTTTTCATCCCCTACTTAATATAAGACCAGCTTTGCTGGCTTCGTTTTTTTTAAAAAAAAAGTTGTTTACGTTTTGGGCTATTCTGGCCTTGTTTTTCTTTTTTTTTCTTCAATAGAAAAGACAGGAACTATGTCCATCAATTAAGGGTGATCAAGATCCACATAAGAGCCAAATGTAGGCCGACTGGGATTTAAGATGACTGTTCAGGCCTTGTTGTCTCCAATAATTTGTCCCCAATTTGTTTCGTTCAATCTCGCTTGGAAAAGTTTGTATTAAGGATATTCTAGCCGATCACGTGTAATCAGCTGGAATATCCCTAATAGTTTGAACATGCCTCAATTCTACACAAACCTACTGAATTAACCATCTCTCTTTTGTAAAACTTGTATACAAAACTCAATTATGACATGTCTAATTTCTACTCAAATCTACCATCATTTTTTTATTACAACGTGCCACAATATTTGCCAAAACTCTTTTTCTGGTGCTAAGCACTACTAGCCATGATCATCAACTTCTTCCCTACTAGCTCGCCGTCGTCGCCGCCTTCTCGACTTCCTTGGGCCGCCACATCGTCTTCTCGGCGCAGAGCATCACCTCTCCCTGCTTGGACACCGTCATCCTCACCTCCCAGTGCAACGACCTCAGGATGCTCTCCACCTCCGCCGCCGTGTCGCGGCCGTCCCGCACGATCAGCTTCCCCTCCGGCCGCAGGATCCGGTCCACCTCGACCATCACCGGCAACAGCTTGCACCTGCACAAGGTGATAGAGAAGAGACACCATGGATGGCTAGCTCAGCTCTGAATGGGGGAAATGACGAAAGAATGTACTCCCTCCGTTCCACATTATAATTCGCTTTGACTTTTTTGGCCAAAAAAGTCAAAGCGAATTATAATGTGGAATGTAAGGAGTAGTATGTAGTGACCTTTTCTTGAGCTTGGAGAAGAGATGGTCGGCGTGGAGGAGGTCGTATGATCGAGGGTAGGTGCTGAAGGACTCGCACCAGTCGTGGTACATGCCAAACAGCCCTCGCTCATAGATGATCGGCAGCGTGTCCGCCGAGTCCACTGGCACCACGTTCATCACCCACACATTCATGTCCTTCAATGCCGCCGCGAACCTGATCGAGGAAGAAGATGACAATGTCATTGATGCGATGCGATGCAGGGTGTTTGGATGGGAGTGGATTTTAAACCGTTGAGGGGATGTCCCGTTATTTATCTTTTTTCTTTTAAATTCAATGTAAATAGTTGTAGAACATTCTAAAAAATTTAATAATGTAGAGTATAACAACATCTATCAGTACTTAAAAATCAAGTTAAATGCAACCCACAAATAAAAAATTCGGATGTGAACAGTACAATACTATTCATATGTTAAATTTAGTTTTTTAATATCTCAATGTTTCGGCTGAGTTTGGATTTAAAATTTTGTGAAGTGATATGTTGTATGAGTGTTATTAAAATTCTTTAAGATTTTTTTTATAATCGTTGGAATGTTTTTTTAAACAAACTCGAGGCATCAAAATAGTTTCCAATCGTGTAGTGGTGTCGTACCCGCCATACACGGCTCGCATGTCCATGACGTTCCTGACGTTGCTCCAGTCGATGCCGACGCCGGCGAGGTACGAGCTGTTGACGACGTGGTTCCAGTGCTCCTCGTCCGCCGCGAAGTCGTCTGGCGCCGGCTTGCCGTAGACGCCGACCTGGCTGTGCGACAGCCAGTAGGGCGCCGCCGACATCCGCTCCGGCCACAGCTCCGGCCACCGCGCGCCGCGGACGGACTTGTTGGTGGGCAGGCGGTGCATGCACGCCCGCAGCGTGATGTTCCACGCGGCGTTGGGGTCGTCGTCGGCGTCGCAGAGCGGCGGCTCCGGCTTCTCCCGGTTGCTGTAGCAGCCGTTGCTCGTCGGCTTCTTGAAGATCACCATGGCCGTCTCGTCCACGGTGTCGTTCGTCTTCTTCACCATCTTCCAGCACATGGACTTGGTGAGCGCCGCCATGTCTGCGTGCGGCGCAGCGCGGCGCGGCGAGGAGTAAGAGCGAGGCATATGAGATGAGAAGAATTAATGGGGGAGGGGAGCTCACCGTGCCAGATCTGGACGTCCTCCGGCGTCTTCCGGTAGACCGGCGTGGCGGACCAGACGAAGAGGCCGCCGGGGCGGAGGAGGCGGTTGACCTCGAGGAGGAGCTTGCCGCCCCAGATGTGCCATGGCACGCGGCAGCGCGCGCAGTGGACGGCGTCGTAGGCGCCGCCGGGGAAGGGGAGGCGCTTGGTGCCCATGACGGCGGAGATGGCCGGGGATGCCGCGCTCCAGCGCGAACTGCACCTGCGCCTCGTGCTCGTCCTTGGGCGCCAGCGACATGGTGAGCGCGTCGCGGTCGAACAGGAAGCCGCCGAAGCTGGCCACGCCGCAGCCGACGTCGAGCACGACGCGGCTGCGCCGCCCCCACGCCACCGCCGGGACCGCCTCCTCGATCAGGTCGATGTAGTGCGCCGCGCCGTTTATGAACTGCGTCCCGCCGCCGGGGAACGTCAGGTGCTCGCCGGAGACCTTCACCCAGTTCTGGTGCCCCTTGTACGACGCCAGCTTGGTGTGCGGCACGTTGTGGTACCAGATCTTGTCGCGGCTGTACGGCCACGGGATCGGCCGCCGGTAGCCGCCGGGGAGCGGGACGAGGCACGTCGGCGCCGCGGCGGGGCAGTGTCGCTCACGGTGCTCGTAGTGCTTGGTCGTCTTGAGCTTCTTGATCGCCGCCTCGTTGTCCAGGCACGGGATGTAGTCCTCGCCGGTGCTCACGTTGCAGAGCTTCCACCCGTGCGCCACCGCCACCGCCGCCGCCGCCGCCGTGTCGCTGCCGTTGCTCTTGTTCTTGTTTCTGTCGCGCGCCTTCTTCTCGGCGCTCGACTCCGACGCCTGCGTCGGGAACGAGCCGTTCTGCGCCACCGCCGACGCCGTCTCGTTCAGCAGCTCAGCCTGGCCGCTCGGGAGGAGCTCCTGCTCCGCCGCCGGATTGATCTTTTCGGTGGCGGCGGCGGCGGCGGCGGCGCTGTTCGCCGGCGCGTCGTCCTCTGTTGTTTGGGAGACTGTGCCATTGCTGCTGTCCACGGCTGCGAGTGTCGTCGTCGTCGTCGTCGTCGTGTTCGAGTCGTCGTTCATGTCGCTGATAGTTTGGTTGTTCGATGACGCGCCGGTGGCCGTGTCGTCGTCGGTGGTTTGCGCCTCGCCGCCGCCGCCGCCGTCGTCGCCATTGGTGGGAACTTGTTCGGAGCTCTTCTCCGTGACCTTGCCGTCCTCTGCCACCGTCTCGACGCCGTCCATCTTCCCGTTCTCGTCGTCGAATGACGTCTGGTTCTTCGACGGCGTGCCGCCGTCGCCGGTCGCCTTCGCGTCGGTGGGCGTATCGTCGGAGCTCTTGTCAGCCTTAGTCTCGGTGGAAGCCTCATCGGCGTTCTCGCCGGCGTCCTTGGTGTCCCTGGGCTCCTCCGCCGTGCTGTTCTTTTTCCCCTTCGTGTCCGTCGACGGCGCCTCGTCGGCATCGCCGCTGGCTTGGTCGCCGGTGTCCTTGCCGTCGGTTGGCGCATCGTCGGCGCTCTGCTTGTCGGGATCTTCTGGGCTCACCACCTCGCCGCCCTCCGTCTTGCCGTTCTCGTCGGAGAATGTCTGGTTCTTCGACGTCGTCGTCGTCTCGCCGTCGCCTACCTTGTCGCCGGCGGGCTTGCCGGACTCCCCCGCCCCCGTGCCTCCGGTGGTGGTCTTGGCGACCGCATCCGTCGCCGTTTGCGTGTCAACGCCGCCGCCTTTCACGCCGGTGTCCCCGACGTCGTCCGTCGTCTTCGCCGTGTCGCCGGCATCTTGGACTTTCTTGCCAACGTCGTCGGCTGCCTCGTCCGTAGTTCGCGGCGTGTCGCCGCCATCGCCGCCGCCGCCGCGACCCTTGACGCCGTCGGTGACGTCGATGGACGACGCGTCGTCCTCCTTGACCACCGCCGGCGGCTTGTCCTCCGGCGACACGGCCATCGGGACGTTTCCCGTCGACGACATCATCCACGCGCCGACGAGGCAGAGCGCCACGAACAGGACGATGGTCGCCGTCGAGCAGGACGACGGCGAAGAACGGCGTCCTCCGCCGCCGCCGCCGCCGTTGCCATCCAGCCGCTGGTACCGATCCCGATCAAACAACGGCATCTTGTGACAGGCTCACAGCTAGCTCATGCAGTAGGCACTTCACACTCTCTGCACATTCACACAGGAAAGGCTTATTAGCCTCTTATTTTGGAGTGAACAAATTATGTGTAAATTGATCTGGGATTTGAAATCCAAATTCCACATCAGTAACAATCTAATCACACTGATCAATATAGCATATTATTACTCCAGTAAGAAACTGTCTGAGTATCTTATTTAGACAGTTTATTTGTTTATGTTATGTGGACAGAGACACTGTCTGAAATGTTGCAAATGCTAATGACAAGAAACAATAATGGAATTCCTGTTTACAGATCAGATTGTTTGGGTTATTACTACCTACATTATACAAAAGAAGGTGATCTATTAGTTAAACATGCGCCAAAATTCAACAAAATTAAGCACAAATGAAACGAACATCCTAGCATAATTAGCAACCAAGAAACAGTACAACAAAACAACATCCTGGATTGAAACTGACCTGATGAGTGATGAATTGAACACACTCAAAAAAATCTCCAAATCAATTGATCCTCAAACCAATCGAACGGTTGCGAAAGCGAGATCAAATATGCACCATTACTTATATATGCAGCTAGCAGCCACAGTACTAGATCGATCTCGAGCTGTTGCTTTGCTTGGGAGAAGAGAAGAAGAAGAAGAAGTGAAGTAGAGAGAGAAAGTGAGGCAGATGAAGAGAGAGAGAAATTCAAAATGCAATCTACCCCGTTTCTATTTCCCAACAAGAAGCAACCGGGGCATGGACGCATGCGTCGTCTCCTTGTTCCTCTCGTTGGCTAATCTTTTATTAGCGCGGGGAGTTTGTGTTAAGGGAGGATTACGCGGGAAGCGAGGAGAAAATGGGGTGACGTCCACGAACACCACTCTCTCCGGGTTTTTGGCGCCATCACCATGCAAAATTGCAAACTATGCAGAAATGGATCGAATTAATTAATTAGCTGGATCAAATCAATGGGAAATTAAAGAGAAGTTTTCATTCACGAACAAGGGTCGAGTGCTTCTCAAATTTTGGCGATTGAATGGGGAATATTTCTTATATATGGCCACATTTGAAACGCAGGATATAATAAACACAAAAAGAAATTAGAAAAAATGCAGGAATTGAAGGGGTGTGTTTCTTTTATCTTACAGGAATGAAAAACAAATGAAAAATGAAGATAATCCCTTCAATAACAGAAAACAAACAAAGAAAAAGGTTTCCAAAATTGTTGGACGTCTTCTTCTTTTTTCCTATGAAATTGGCTATAGAAATGCAATCCTATGAAAAATTTCCATTCCCTTCTTACGAACATATAAAAATTCCTTAGAAAACTGAATCCTCCAAAATTTGTAAAGCAATCCTCCAATTCGAAGGGACCTTAGAGTAAAGATATATCGTTGTTGAGATATGAAAGTAGGTGTAAACATAATTATATTTTTGGAACGGACGAATACATTGCTGGAAATTCCATGGTGCAGGATGAAAGATGCATGTACTTACTGGTGAAGTGTAGCTGACTCTACAGGAGTTGACGCGTCAAGGGGAAGCTTGGCTGGCTAATCCTTTCCATGCATTATATACCGTTTTCTTTTTCATGCTTCTTATACACTTCGTGTGCAACTAATTAATAGAGAGTAAATTTCATAAAACTGCAACTTTAGTGACAAAACTATCAGTTTGCTGCAACATTAGCGACATGTTTCAGTTTGCTGCGACAATAGTGTGGGAAATTATCACAAAACTGCAACTTTTACGTTATATGCTGCTACAGTACTAGTTTTGTCACTAAAGTTATAGTTTTTGGAAATTTACTCATTAATAAATCCGCTGGTTAGGAGTAAGCATGCAAAAGTTGTTCTTCCACCTGTTGCAACATGCTAACATATCCTGTTTTTCTTTAGCAAGAGAGAGCAACGACTTTCAGCCTCAAAATTGCTTGCTCATAGTCATTGCATCACCAAACTTTAAGCATCTACGGTTTAAATAAATACTAAAATGGAAAAATAATAAGACAAACAAATTAATTATCCACACGATCTTGACAACTATACACTGAAAAAGTTTTGAGGTTTTAGTCTTCATGACGATACCTCCAACTTCCTAAGGAGTAAAATTCGTGTGCTCGTCGCTAGATGCAATCAACAAAGATTATATAAAGGGATTTCACCAAATCTCAGGTATTATTCTCAACTAACCTCGTTAAGACCACCACAGCAAGCAAAAATAAGTCTTGGAGCTCTACTCACTTATTGGTGGAACATCTGGTTAGGGAGGAATTGGAGGATTTAGATCAGCGAGCCCGTCGTAAAAGCTGTGTTATTTAACCCTTGTAACCTCTCAAGTCTCAAAAGTTGTAACCTCATCTATTCTCCATTTTCCCTAAACCTTTTGTATTATCTGACTTTTACTCTTTCTCAGTTATATCCGGCAGAGCACTTGTCATTGTTGGTTTCAGAAAAAGATAATGTATTAGAAAAGGGAAAGCGACCAATTTGATTCTATTGCAAAAACAAGCAATTAAAGCCTAGACATGGAGTTTTCATCCTATGGAAAAAAAATACAATAGCTCTACCACAATATTTAATCCAATCCTATGGATGCACATGGTCATTATAATTTCAAAGTCTAGTTTAAATCATATTTCATATTTGTAACCTAAAGTAAAAATTCCATGCAACTGGACTCCCAAAATTATTTCCAACAGATTATTCAGCATCGATATCAAAATCAGTAATGTGAGCTATGACTGTGTGACAGAAACCCACGGTTCATCTTTCCAATTGAGCACGGAATCCTGACTCCTAGCAGTTTGAATGATTTTCTCCAAATTTTGGTCAAATTTACTGTTTTAATTTTGAATTCTCAAAAACCATTTAATAATTAACTCGCACTCCACTTTTATCCAACATCAAAACCTTCAAAAGTTTACAATTTTTGTACATTTTTATCGCAAACGTGAACCCTGTAGAGTGCAGACACGATTCTCGCGTGTTTACTTTTCTACTTCTTCTGTCCTAAAAATATATATGGTACTCTCTTCGTTTTTAGTATACGACGCCGTTGACTTTTTAAGATACGTTAGACCATTAGTCTTATTAAAAAAATATAATTATTATTTATTTTATTGTGACTTGATTTATCGTTAAATGTTTTTTTAAGTATGACTTAAATTTTTTATATTTGCACATAAATTTTGAATAAGACGAATGTTCAAATGTTTATCAAAATATCAACGGCGTCATATATTGAAAAATGAGCAGTATGAGATTTAACATATTTTAGTACTATATAGATTTGAATAGATCTTTCTTCATATTTATATAGTATCAAATCTTTTATTATAGGTTGCTATATATTCTACAACAAAAGATTTAATCTTCCCAAACTCAAACAAACGGAAAAAAAGAAGCAAACCACTCCCCAAACGGCCAAACCCCCCCCCCCCCCCCCCAAACCCTTCCTCTCCCCTCGACTCCGGCGCCGACATGGCCGTCGTGCACCGCATCCTCCGCCGCGGGCTCTCCGCCGCCTCTCCCCTCCCTTCTCTCCGCGGCCTCCTCCTCGTCTCCCCTCAGGTACCACCTATTCACGCTCCCCTCGGCGTCCATTACCCGCGCCGGCGCACGGTTTCTTGATTTTTTTTATCGGTGATGTTTCTTTCGCTTTCCCCGCGAAGGAGCTCGGCAGGCGTCCGGCGAGCTCGTCGTCGTCGGCGGCGGCGGCTGCGGGGGACGTGGAGGCTGAGCTGCGCGCCGCGCGGGAGGACGTCAGGCAGCTGCTCAAGTCCAACCCCTGCCATCCCATCCTGGTACCCTGTACAAAAATTTTTAGATTATCTGTCTAGCTGTCAAATTTTGCATCTGTAAACAAGTTCGTTATCACTGTGATATGTAGTGAACTAGTGCTAACAATATGGTCTATGTGATTGCGTGTTTAGTTAACTGGTAGATTATGCTGTTCGAACCAATAATTTTAGACTTTGAGGGGATGACTGATGAGGAATAGCTATTTTTTTTTAGTATTCGCTATATTTGCGTGGTTCATGGTTGTGCATCTTCTTGATCAAACATGCATATTTATGACATGTCTGCTGAGTTACCATTGGTTTCAGGTTCGGTTAGGGTGGCATGACGCTGGCACTTACGATAAGAACATCACTGAATGGCCAAAGTGTGGTGGTGCGAATGGTAGCTTGAGATTTGGAGTTGAGTTAGTACATGCAGCTAACAAAGGTAGTGGCGCGTCTGGTCCATTAAGTATCAGTTGGTTCCTGATGCATATATGATGATTCTTACAGTAGTTCTCTGCTGCAGGTCTTCTGAAGGCGTTATTCTTGGTCATTCCCATCAAGAGCAAGTATGCAGGTGTCACTTATGCAGATATATTTCAACTTGCCAGTGCTACAGCCATTGAGGTCCTTCTGGCACTTCTAATCTAATCTAATGATATCTATCATTCAAATAGTTCTTCCTTATTTAGTGGTGATATGACTGCTTTGGCTTTCGCATTTCAGGAAGCCGGTGGCCCCAAGATCCCCATGATCTATGGAAGGGCTGATGTTGCTGATGGTGAAGAATGCCCACCTGAGGGGAGACTTCCTGGTCAGTAACTTTTAGGTTCTGTAGACCAAATTTGTTCATAACCATGATTTGTCGTCTATAAACAAAACTATAATGCTGTCCCTTTAGTGTCATGTCATACCGATCTCAAGTTACTATTGCAGTGGGTCATCATCTTACAACTTCATTTCCCAGATGCTACTTTCTTCTAATTCATTAAACTTAGAATATTGATATGTTCTAGAGCATTGAAATTTAATTGATATGCGTTTCAAAACACAGAAATAAACTTACAAATTTACTCTATTTGTCCTCTCCTTTTATCTCAATTTACGAGTTACATGCAATGCAACTGAGATACCTGATTGATGTAATCCTTTTCAAGCTTGTACACCTCTCACTTTAAGGAACCACCCATATCAAAATCTTTATTTGTCTGTTGTATGTACTCACACCAAAGTATGTTAACGTAGTGTCAATAATAGAGGACATAAATATAATTGTAAATTTTTTCTTGCTACTAACTCATTGTAGGTGGCCTGTTATTTTTAAACAGATAATGGTCTGCCTATAATAGGTTGTTGCATTCCTGGTAATGTTTCCCAGGTCCAACTTATTTAGAAGGTTTAGGCAGGGTACCTTATTCATGTATCTGTGGATTTTAGTTTGTGAAATACCAAAATTGGTGTGAACAGACTAAAAAAAAAAGAAAGAAACAAGTTATGAAATATTGCTACTGTGAGCTCTATAATCTGGTGTAATCACATTTTGGATACGCAAATGTGCAAGAAAAATTACTCCAGTTACAATTTAAGGAAAATTTAAAGCTGCCCATGCTGCGCAGAATAAAAATCAGGCATGTGATCGTGCTTTGCCTGTGAAACTGATGAAATATTGCTTCCCTAGTCTTGCTGCAATTTCAGCTGTTTGGTTTTTGTAATCACATGGCATTGATATATTTCCTGCTCTGTCGTATACTGACGATGATCTAATCCTCTTTCCTTTTAATGTTGTTTCTGTTGGTACAATGTTGTTCCCTGCATTTTACATTTCCACCCTTTCAGCTGCTGACCCACCTTCACCTGCTGAACACTTGCGAGAAGTATTCTACAGAATGGGCCTGAGTGACAAGGTACTTGCAAACTGGTTGATTCAATATTCCAAACAACTTTTCTGGGGGGTTTGCATTGGCTAGTCTCATCTGTTTCGCGATCTGCAGGAAATTGTTGCGTTGTCAGGAGCTCATACACTTGGTCGAGCTAGACCAGAGCGTAGTGGATGGGGTAAACCAGAAACAAAATACACTGTATGTAACTTACAGCAGTTGGTATTGTTCTGATTTTAAGAACACCTTGTCCATTGATGCATTTTCGAGTATTGCATGCTATTTAGTTATTACTATTTTTAGATTAGCACACCTTCATGAAGTTCTTCTGATGGTGAATTTGTTCTTCTGATGGTGAATTTGTTATCTGGCTAATTGATTATTTTTCTTGACTGGCAAAGGAAAATGGGCCTGGTGCTCCTGGAGGGCAATCTTGGACATCTGAGTGGCTCAAGTTTGACAACAGCTACTTCAAGGTAGGATGCACAATTTTCTATATTAATACTAAGCATTATAGCAGTAATAGAACTTATGCAAGTCTGCATACATATTCAGGAAATCAAAGAACGCCGAGATGAGGATCTTCTAGTTCTCCCTACTGATGCTGTGCTCTTTGAGGACTCATCATTCAAGGTTAGTGAAGTTGCTCATCAGCTAGTGTTGTAAAGAATTGCAAATCAAAAGTGATGCTCTAAATTTTTTTCTTTTTTTGCTTGCTTGTCATGCCTGAAGATCCATGCTGAAAAGTATGCTGAGGATCAGGATGCATTTTTCGAAGACTATGCTGAAGCTCATGCCAAACTGAGCAATCTTGGGGCAAAGTTTGATCCTCCAAAGGTAAATGAGATTAAAGACTTCCTCACTTCCATTATTGGAATGGAGAAAATGTCCAGTCAACTTGACTTGCTTATTATCGCTGAAATGGCACAGGGTATTTCACTTGAATAGCTGGCGTCAGCTGCCGATGAACTGCATTTTGGCGAGTGATAAACAAGATAATACCTTGTTTGTTCTTGCTACTATAGAGCATATTCTGGTTTTACTACCCATCCAGAAATTTAACTTATTGTAAATGTGATGCTGGTGCTGTGTATTGAGCTGTGTTACTGCTTGCCATCTTATCTATTGTACTATATTATAAAGATAGCTCGAAAAAGAGCAACCAAATTTGTTCAGGTCAACAATTAGATGCATCACAACCTCAGTTAGATAATACTAGGTTTTTATATAACGAAGATAGTAATGTGAATTGTGAGTTCCTACATTATTTCTAACATACTTATTTAGCATTAAGATCAAACTATAGTTGCGAGTTGTGAGTTGTGACACCCAACATGCTAGCACGGGTTCCTTCGGTTTCTCATGGAGGAGGAAGATTTGTATTGTACGCGAAATGAGAAAGCTCATTAGTATATGATTAATTATCTTAAAAAAATTAAATATTAACTATTATAAACTTGAAAAAATAGATTTATTTGTTTTTTAAACAACTTCCATATATATAATTATTTTTTTAAAAGAAAGTAACATTTAACCGTTTGAAAAACGTGCTAATAAAAACGAGAAAATTGAAGTTTGAACTTAAGAAAAAGAAGAGGCCTAAATAACTCAACCTAAATACTCCCTCCTTGACGCCGTTGACTTTTTTAAATATGTTTGACCATTCGTCTTATTCAAAAACTTCTGTGAAATGTGTAAAACTATATGTATACATAAAAATATATTTAACAATAAATCAAATGACGGGAAAAGAATTAATAATTACTTAATTTTTTTAAATAAGATTAATGGTTAAATATTTTTAAAAAAGTCAACGGTGTCGAAAATTTTGGGATGGAGGGAGTATGTGTCTTCCACTCTTCTCCCCCCCAATCAAACGAACTAGTTAAAGAATTCCAAAAAAAAAACACACACACACACACACACAAAAAGAGAGTGAAATTTTGCTATTGGTAGATTCCTCCCCTGACCACGGAGCAGCGAACCACTCCCAAAACGCCACCAAAACCCTCCTCTCCCCACCTCCGCCGCCGCCGACATGGCCGTCGTCCACCGCCTCCTCCGCCGCGGCCTCTCCGCCGCCTCTCCCCTCCCCTCTCTTCAGGTACTAGTACCACCTACGACGCCTCCCCCCCTCCCTTTCGCTGTTCATTACCCGCGCCGGCGGCGGACCGGTTCTTGATTTAGCGATGTCCCTTTCTTGATGATTTTTGTTCATTTTCTCCCCCGTGAAGGAGCTCGGGAGGCGTCCGGCGAGCTCGTCGGCGGCGGCGGCGGGGGACGCGGCGGCTGAGCTGCGGGGCGCGCGGGAGGACGTCAAGCAGCTGCTCAAGTCCACCTCCTGCCATCCCATCCTGGTATGCTAATATATGCTTTGCTGCTTTAGTGTTCTTGTGCAAAGATTGCGGGTTTGTATGGTTCGAAGAGTATAATGGGATTTTAGATTGTCTAGCTATATCCATGGATTTCGCATCTCTACAAAAGATTGTTCTTTGTGTGTTTAGTTAACTGGTCGATTATGCTATTTAAAACAGTAACTTTTACTTCGAGAAGATGCAACTGCTCTAGTTCACCTGTGTGCAAGAAGACTGTAACACGTTCTATGCACAATATTCGCTAGATTTGTGCAGTTCATGGTTCTGCATCTGCTTGATCGAACATTGCATATTTATGACTTGTCTGCTGGGTTAACCTTGGTTGCAGGTTCGGTTAGGGTGGCATGATGCTGGTACTTATGACAAGAACATTACTGAATGGCCAAAGTGTGGTGGTGCCAATGGTAGCTTGAGATTCGAAATTGAGTTAAAACATGCGGCTAATGCAGGTAGTGCTTCTGTTCTGTCATTATCTATTGTTCGTGATTCATGGTTATCCTTACAATAACCCTCTACTTCAGGTCTTGTGAATGCTTTGAAGCTGATCCAGCCCATCAAAGACAAGCATGCAGGTGTCACTTATGCAGATCTGTTTCAGCTCGCCAGTGCTACAGCCATTGAGGTCCTTTTGTCACTTTAGTCTAATGATAACTATGAACTATCATTCAAACAGTATTTATTATTTAATGCTGATATGATTGCTTTGGTCTGTTTTAAAACTCAGGAAGCCGGTGGCCCCAAGATCCCCATGATCTATGGAAGGGTTGATGTTGCTGCCCCTGAACAATGCCCGCCAGAGGGGAGACTTCCTGGTCAGTAGCTTTTGGGTTCTGTAGCCCAAATTTGTTCGTTACCGTGATTTATCATCTGGAAACTAAAATATAATGCTGTACCTTTAGTGTCATGTCACACTGATCCCAAGTTGCTATTACAATTGGCCATCTTCTTGCAGCTTCATTTCGCAAATTCTACTTTCTCCTTATTCATTAAACCTAGAATATTGATAACTTTCAGAGCAGAACTGATATGTGTTCCAACACTCAGAAATGAAGTTACAAATATACTCTATTGGTCCTCTTGTTTAATCTCAATTTATGGGTTATCATGCAATTGAGATACCTGATTGACATAGGAAATCGCGCATATCCATCTTTATTTGTCTGCAATCTATTTACATCAAAATCAAATTATTTAGATGTAGTGTCAACAATAGAAGACATTAATATAAATTGATAGTTTTCTTGCTAACCTACTGTAATAGTCCTGTTTTATTTCTTCTTTAATGATAAATTTATTTTCTTAAATGGACAATGGTCTGCCTATAATAGGCTATTACATTCGTGGTAATGCCTCTCAGATTCAACTTATTTAGAAGGTTTAGGCGTGGTATCTTATCCATGTATCTATGGGTTTTACTTCATGAAGTACTAAAATTGATGCTAACTGGCTAAAAGCATGAAAAAACAAGTTTCTTATGAAATATTGCCACCGTGAGCTCTGTAATCTGGTGTAATAACATTTTGGACATGCAAATGTGTAAGAAAGATTACCCCAATTGCAATATAACAGAAAAATTGTAAGCTGCACATGCTGTGCAGAATGAAAATCAGTGCTATGATTGCACTTAACCTGTGAGATTGATAAAATATAGCTCCCCAAGAATTGCAGCACTTTCAGCTGTTTGTTTTTGTATTCACATGACATTGATATATTTCCTGCTGTGTCTTATAGTGTACTTTGATATTTGAAATCTAGTGCTGATGATGATCTAATCCTCTTTCATATGCATGTGCTTTCTGTTGCAATTTTGTTCCCTATATTTTACATTTCCACCCTTTCAGCTGCTGGCCCTCCTTCACCTGCGGAACATCTACGAGAAGTATTCTATAGAATGGGCCTGAGTGACAAGGTACTTGCAGATTGCTTCATTCAATATTCCAAACAACTTTTTCTGGGGATTTGCTAGTTACATCTGTTTTGTGATCTGTAGGAAATTGTTGCATTGTCAGGAGCTCATACACTTGGACGATCTAGACCAGAGCGCAGTGGATGGGGCAAACCAGAAACTAAATACACTGTATGTAACTTATATAGTTATATCAGTAGTAGGTTATTGTTCTGATTTTAGTAACGCCTTGTCCATGATTCATTTTGGAGTATTGCATGTTATTTAGTTACTACGTATTTTTTAGATTAGCCAATGGGATAATTAAGTTGTCATCACTGGCAATGCTTATTGATCTTGCATATATCTCTTCCTTGTAAAAGCTCTGTATTGAAGATCTTTATATGATTTATTACTACTTCACCGAAGAAAATAAAGAGATGCTTCTGCGCTGTTGTGTTAGTTGACCATATTATGCTTCATCTCTAATCGCGGATGACCTATATTAGCATCAATGCTACAAACTTTCCTACTACAGTGCTTATATGCTTTCAAATATGTTCTTGTGGGTAGTAGACTTGCAGTATTAACTATATCTAGCATGCACTCCTTCATGAAGTTCTTGCTGATGAATGTTCTGAATGTTGAATTTCTTGTTTGGCTAATTGATTAATTTCTTTTGACTCGCAAAGAAAAACGGACCTGGTGCACCTGGAGGGCAATCTTGGACATCACAGTGGCTGAAGTTTGATAATAGCTACTTCAAGGTAGGATGCACTATTTTCTTTATCAATACCAAACATGATAGCAGTTACAATTTACAAAACTTATGTTAGTCTGCATAAAATTTAAGGACATCAAAGAACGCCGAGATGAGGACCTTCTAGTTCTGCCTACTGATGCTGTGCTCTTTGAGGACTCATCATTCAAGGTTAGTGAAGATTCTCATCAGCTCTTGTTGTAAAGAACTGCAAATCAAAAGTGACGCTCTAAACTAAAAAGTTTTGCTTGCTTGCCATGCCTGAAGATCTATGCTGAAAAGTACGCCGCAGATCAGGATGCATTTTTTGAAGACTATGCTGAAGCTCATGCCAAACTGAGCAATCTCGGAGCAAAGTTTGATCCTCCAAAGGTAAGTGAGATTAAAGACTAACATTACTGGAATTAAAAAATGTGCAGTCAACTTGACATGGTTATCACTGAAATGACACAGGGTATTTCACTGGAATAAGTGGCGTCTGCTGCCGATGAGCTGCATTTTGGCGAATGAACAAGACGATACCCTGTTTCTTCTTGCTACTATAGAGCATATTATGGTTTTATTACCGATCCAGAAATTTAATCCATTGATCGGCAAATGTGATGTTGGTGTTTTGTATTGAGTTGTGCTCTCCATTAGAAATAAAAATAGCGGTGGCCATTTTCGTTTCCAGGACCAAACATTTTGGCACATTACAATACAATGTTTTAGATGATGTCTGCATTGAGCTCTTACACAGGATGATCAAAATATATGACATAATTTATTACTGAATCCTTTTGTGATATTTCCCAAGTAGGACTGTACATAACCAGCAATCTCAAGTCAAGTTACTTTTCATAGTTTATTTGGATCATCTGCTTCCAGATCTTCTTCCTTTATTACCAGATAACTTGGTCATCATCCATATAAAATTACATCTGCCAATCCTACTATACATATTTATTTTATACCCACAACTGCACTGAAATGTTCTCTTCATCGAGAAAACATACAGCATACATCTTTTATCATGGTGAAATATACATTGCTGAGGACATAAGATTTCATTTCCCTCTTGGAAACCCCAAGATAGCCTTGATCATGGCTCCCAGGTTGCCCTTGAGCACTCCCCTGAGGATCTTGAGCTTCGCCGGCGAGTACGGCGGGTACCTCGCCGCCGCCTCGCCGGCGAAGCGGCGGACCAGCACGGCCTTCTTGTGGCTGAAGGCCTCGAAGCTGAACCTGCCATGGTAGGCTCCCATGCCGCTCTCCCCAACTCCTCCAAAAGGTAGGTACTGGTTTGTTAGCTGCAGTGGTATTTTTGCAGACACATCAGAATCAGTCACACTTGGTTAGCAATGTTGTTTGCATCAGTTAACATGTAAGTCATGATATGCTTAAAATGCACAATTAAGGATCAGATTAATGATGATTATTACTCTCTGTGTTCATAAATAAAAGTCAAAACGTACCTTAAAGTACTCTTTAACTCACTGGCTTATGTTTTTATATAATAAATTGATATCAGTAGAATTGCTATGAAAAATATTTGCATGCAGTTATAGTTAATGATATTTATGAAAATATGGCTAAAAAGGAACGAGAAATTAGAATCAATCATTTGGTTAGCACTATTGTTTTGCATCAGTTGACATGCAAGTCATGAAATGACTACTAAATGCACAATTAAGGGACATATTAGTACGGATTTTGCGAGTAAATGAAAAGCTTGGATGCAAAATTAGAAGCCAGATTAATGCTGATTATTACGTGGACGGCTGTGTCGTTGACAAGCATTCCTCCTGCAGAGATGGCTGCCTCATATTGTTCCTGGAGCTTGCTGTCCTTGGTGAAGAGGTAGGCTGCAAGTGCCTTTGTCATGGAGTTGATGAGAGCAAAGCTCTCATGGATCTTATCAACCTAAGGACAGCAGCATCATGTGAGAACAGAGATTTGTCCATCATGTATTAATTTCCCAACTAATGGTAACATTGTCAATCTACAGAAACTCATCTGTAGTTGACTACAAAAGGTCATTTATTAGCTCTAACCGTTATGATAGGAAGCAAGGGGCCAAAGATTTCCTCCTTCATGATCCCTGAATCAAGAGGAACATCCATGAAGATTGTAGGGGCTATCTTTCTGAAAATGTTGCAAACAAATAAAATTTTAACTGATCATCCAAACCATGTATTCAGAAGCATTTGTCAGAGTTGTAAAATTTCAGTCAACTTACAGCTGATGTTCATCTCTCTGACCTCCGAACACGATCTTATCAGAGACATTTTCATCGTCCATCAGCTTCTTCAGCCGGTTAAAATGGTTGGAATTCACAATTCGCGACAAGTCAGATGATCGCAGCGGGTCCCTCCCGTAGAACTTCTCCAAAACTTTCTCTAGAGCCTCCAGCTGAGTTCGTGGCACGGTTGATTAGTTAAAACCATTTCACCACATATTCTTTTAAATATTCAATATAAAATGAGTTTTTTTCTTACCAGCTTTGGGGCGAATGATTTTGTTGTTATGATGAAATCAGGAGAAATGCAGGCCTGCCCATTGTTGCAACCCCATTTCCCGGCGGCTATCCTCTTGGCAGTAACCTTCAAATCAAATTAAAGAGAAGATTGCGACATGAACGAACAGGGTATCCTATATAATTGTACACTCGAACTCTAAGTAACCTTCAAATCAAATTAAATATTGTCATATGAACGAATAGTGTGCACTATATGATTCTACATTTGAAGCTAGCACGTTAGGATTTCTATCTTATCATCTTATTAACACGTGTTTCTATATGTGCTCTACGTGATTCTACACCCGAAACGATGCACGTTTTACTCTATCGTGCTATAGGCACATGAATATGACACCTATCTCCCTCTAGTCATAAATAAGTGTCATTCCAACATCTGCGAAGTCGACATAAATTAATTTTAAACATGGCTATTGTTCAAAAATATATGTTTTACCATATGAAAAATGAAAGACAAACTTGTTATAATAAAAACCTTCATACTACTTCCTCTGTCCCAAAAAATCTTGATGTTTTAAGGTTTGTCAACAAAATTTGCTTCATGTTAAAATGATCAAATTACCCCAATTTATTTGATTCGGCTGTCATTTATTTAAGTCAGCACACACTCAGCAGGTTACAAAGAAAATATATGCATACAATTAATCAATGTATTTTTTTCAAAACTCATTGGCAGATGACCTGAAGGAATAGACGGCCCACTTATCTAATCAAGTTTGCTAGTCTAATGACATTTTTATGGGATAATACTGGAAATATTGAACGGCTTGTTTTCTGGGACGGAGGAAGTATTACACTTACGCAACTAATTTTGGATGCTACAGAAAAGAATAAAGTGGTCAAAGTTATATCTTATTAACTTTATATCTTATTTGTGACCGAGGGGAGTAGGTCTCAGTGTCCCATGGGGGTAGCAAATCCTGAAACACCAAAGTTTATGGTGCAAAATGCAAATTCATAGAGGGGAATTGTGTTGTGCTTTGCTTACATGGAGGTTGACATTAGAGTCGACAACAACCGGGCATTTTCCGCCGAGCTCCAGGACCACCGGCGTCAGGTGCTTCGCCGCCGACGCCATCACGATGCGTCCTACCTTGCCATTCCCTGCAATTTCACCCAGTTTCGTCAGATTTCAGAGCCACTGCAAGAGGAGCTAAGCTTCGATCACTTCTCGAACTCCATCAATGGCGACAATGAGAATCAAGAACTAAGAACCTACCTGTGTAGAAGATCTTGTCCCATTTCTGCTCGAGCAGGGTGGTGGTTTCGGCGACGCCACCCTCGACGACCTTGATGCAGCTGCCGTCGACGTAGCGCGGCAGCAGCTCGGCCAGCAGCGACGAGGTCGCCGGCGCCACCTCCGACGGCTTCAGCACCACGGCGTTGCCGGCGGCGATCGCTCCGATGATCGGGTCGATCGACAGCACTGAAATGGATAAGCAAAAGTAATATTAGCTTGATCAATGCTACTGGCAATAAAATAAAATGCTAACTCGATCTAAACCACAGATAACATGAGGAAATTAAAAGAATATCTATGCATGCTGGTTCCATCTAGGCATATAGCTCTAGTTACATGATTTTACCCTCGACGAAAAAAAACAGTTAAAATTTTGGAAAAATTGTTCACTTCAAAATATTTTGTTGCATTCTATAGAACAGCTGTAAAATTAAGGATAGAGCAGTAAAAATTTAAGTGCACGTATCTATGGTTTCACAGGAAATTAAGGGTTGGTTGAACTCAAATATCGTTTTTCATTTGAGAAATATTCTTTTTCTTTTACTCAGCATGATATTGTACCACCACTATAAAGGGTGCAGATCTTTTTCTATTTTCACTTTGCCTGATCAACATGATAATTTCTCTTTTAGCGTTGTCTTAACTAGTGCCTAGTCGATTTTTCTACACAAGCTTAGATTTTAATAGTACAATCGAATTTGATATAAAGCCCATGGTTATAATCAACCAACCCATATGGTTATAATCTACTCTCTTCATTCCAAAATATTTGACGCCGTTGACTTTTTTTTTAAATGTTTGACCGTTCGTATTATTCTAAAAATTTAAATAATTATTAATTCTTTTCCTATCATTTGATTTATTGTTAAATATACTTTTATGTATACATATAGTTTTACACATTTCATAAAAGTTTTTGAATAAGACGAACGATCAAATACGCTTAAAAAAATCAACGGCGTCAAACATTTAGGGAATGAGGGAGTATATATTTTAATAATGCAATAGATATATGTTCCTCCAATATCATGATGTTGTTTATAGTAGAAAAGCATTTTCGCATTCTATTCATGTTATTATTTTTCTGTTGCTGTATTGCATAGAGGCATCATGGAAGTTGCATGCTGCAGGTGGTTGAGAGTTTGCTGTCGGAACCCTCTGCTTCTGTCTGATACACACCTCAAAACTGAATTCTTTTTGAGCAATTAATAGATAGGTTGAGACTTCGCATTGGCATGCCAACACTATGGTCCACTAGTAATCAAACGATTACGGCAACCAGCTAGTCAGCGTCTCAAAAGATGCTTATTTAATTCTGAATTTATTGAAGCTCAAGCAGTCAGACGTCGATCGATAAAGATGGATCACAATTTCAGAACCACACTTAAACTTTTGTTTGCAATGTACTCCGTAGGAGGGAAATCATGTGTACTGGGTGGCAAATCACCAACCATACACATCACATCATGCAAGCCATATGCATGAGTCAAGTTCTTGGATTGAGCAAGCATGCAATGCAAACCACTAGAACGAGACACATCACACATGTGTTTAGAGACATCGAGCAGAAATGTATATACTTCCCTAAAAAATGTAGACATGTATGTGTACTCTTGAAATTAATGGATATAAATGTTGAATCTAAGAATTTATCATGGGTGGGCCTGATGTACTTGTTGCAATACTCAATTCTACTTCCTCCGTCCCAAAAAAAAAAAAACTCAACCTAGAAGGGATGTGACCCCTCCTAAGACAACGAATCTGGAGGGGTCACATCCTCTCCTAGATTAAGTTTTTTTGGACGGAGGGAGTAACTCACAAGTGGATTGAGTGGGTTGGAGTTTTCAAATTCAGATTTTTTTTAATGAAGCCCAATTCATGGAAATGTATATGATCAATTTAAGCAAAGAGAGTTTTGGAGAAATCTAAGGAAAAAATGGATATATTTTTAACCAGTATTTTTGTCATCGACAGAATAACCAAACAATTTAGAATTATATCTTGGGAGTATTTTTGGTAAAAGGAAAATTAGCCCCTGGCCCGTGAAAGAACAAAAATGGAGAAGATGGGCATTAATTTCGATGAGGAACTGCCTCCAATTCCATACTATTATGTCGTCACAACTTGTTAATTTGGATGGTATTTTGGCAAAAATAAATTCTATGACAATTTTAATATATGTTCACTGATAATTTTATTTTTTGGAATATATACTTATATTTGTGAGAGCTTGTTTATTATATTTGCCTAATGTGAGCTCATTTGTGCTCACGCGCATGCTCGCTCTCTCTCTTCCTAGTACCACTGGGAACTTTTTTTTTTATATAAAACCATGCAATGCATTGGCACAACATATATAGTTTTAGAAAATAGTCTATTTGGCAATAGCAACCAGACCGTGGCCATAATGCGTAATTAATTCGTTCAACGCTATTTAAAAGTTCCATCTCTTACATGCCGTAATGTGTTTCCAGTCTAGGCCTCCCTTCCTGTGTGGTCCAACTGCCATATCTGTTCTAATTGTTTCATATTTTCAGAATATATTACTATCTTTTCAATATAGAATTAAAATCAGTGTCAAATACTGAAATATCAAAAGATTGTTACACCAAACAAAATCATCATAGTCCACTGCAAAATCAAATGATACTATATTATTATTGCGGGATTGTTTGAAAGCAACCCTGACCACAAAAAATATTATGCAAGTATTTTTTTAAGTCAAATCTAGTTATATATGAAACCATTGTGTATGGTTTTATCGCATATAGTCTCAGTATTTGAAAATTTTAAAATGCTGAGATTTTCCTTAAAATTTTAAAAATGCTTGCTGACTATTATTTAAAATTTTAAACTCTAGCCGGGTACTGTGAGGAGGGATTGAGCAAGTGACCAACATTAACGAAGCTCTCATCTCACAATTAATTCCAATGAGACATGAACGTCAATGGCATGTCATGCACAGGGAACACGGATTATGTGTTTCCATCGGAATTGCGTGTTTGACTTCTGCTACTCAACGGAAAAACAACATTCTAGAACAATATTAATATTAATATAGTAATTGCTGCAAACAAATCGATTGAGTTAAAAATGTTCAAGGCACGCAGTAAATTAATTACTTTTCTATGAAAGAAAGATCAAATCATATGTGAATGTTAATTTGGTTTTGGTCCAACTTACAGAAAGGGTAGTTCCAGGCCGAGATGACGAGCACGACGCCGAGTGGCTCCGCCGCCACCCTCGCCGTCGACGGGAACGTCATAAGCGGAGCAGTGACCTGAACGCCATGTACACACGTGTGCTAATTAATTACTCCCTCCGTTTTAAAATATTTGACACCGTTGACTTTTTAAGTATATGTTTGACCGTTCGTCTTATTAAAAAAATTATAAAATATGTAAAACTATATGTGTACATGAAAGTATATTTAATAACGAATCAAATGATATAAAAAGAATAAATAATTACTTTATTTTTTTAATAAGACGAATGGTCAAACACGTACTAAAAAGTGAACGGTGTCAAACATTTTGAAACGGAGGGAGCGGTTAATTGGGAAGCAGCTAGGATATAGACATAGGGTACTAATACACTCTAATTAATGACTTGTTAGATAAGGTTTAGATAACTAATGACTCTAATTAAGGTTTAGATAACTGATGAACAAAATTTTGTTTTTTTAGGTAGAAGAGAGGCGCCATCGCTACACTTTATAGTGTTATATATTTTGTGGCAATTTTGATACTATTAAGATGTCTGAAGGAGCATCAGGTGCTATAGTAGTTGGCTAGTTGCCACTCCTCTGTAATCAGCCTCCAGAAAAATATCGACTGTTACACTAAATTATGATTGTTTTACTATGCGCTCCTTAGGTTCTTAGGCTAGTTGAAAAAAGAACCTATACAATATGATCTTTAATTACCAAGTGGTGAAAAAAAAGAGAACGAAAATGGCCTTACGATTCTCGACAATGATACTACGTAGCTGCACATATCATTTCATAGCTAATAGAGGCACCTTGAGTGATGAATTTTTTTTTAAAAAAATGCGTGCAAAATTTTTTAACATTAAAAAGAAACAAGTTTACTCAAAACATGTAACATAATTTTAACGCGGATGTCACCATGTAAGTGTGGCGCAGGAAGAAGAAAACGACCATCTATTTATCAAATGTCTGGATTTTATTTGGCAACCACTTTTTTCAAGCAGACTAGCTACACATCGAACAACTCTGAATGCCTATTTTCTTTTCTTGGGGTGAAATAAGAAATCTAACTTCGGACTTTAAAAAGTATACTTTAGTGTGAATTTTGTCAATATAAAAACAGAAATAATTTATAGGAGCATAAAAAAAACTTATTTTGTTTTTGGAGTAAATGATATTTAGGCTGTGTTCGGATGGCTGTGTTGCGAACTAATCCCTTGCATGCAAAACAAAACGATTAATTAGCGCATGATTAATGAAGTATTAACTTTTTTAAAAAAATAGATTAATATGATTTTTTAAAAGTAGCTATCGTATAGAATTTCTATTTTTCTTTAAAAAACACACCATTTAGTAATTTAGGAAACGTGTGCGTTAAAAACGAGATAGGTGAGTTGGGAAGTCACGAAGTCACAATAAAGACATAGCCTTAATGAAGTGATAACAGCCATAATATCCACACCTTTTGGGGCTTCATCCATTTCTTCAGATTCTTGAGGGCAAACTTGCAGGACGACTTCACCAGCGCAATCTGCAAATTATTTTATTTTTGTCATCTATCAGCAGAGCAGACAGAGTGGCAAACTGCAACAGCATATGCATATGCAATTGATGTTCAGAATCGTCAGATCAGGAAATTGATCAGTTCCTTTCCTCAGTTGTACGTTGTGCGCTGTGAGCGTTTATGTAAGCACAGTTAACATCTAAATCAGCATCATTAATCATGGTAATTAAAACTGCTAACAAGTGGCAATAACGACGTACTAATACTGATCAACGGCCGATATCTGTAGAAACTGGTCGACTGTACGTCTCAGGATGTATACTGTGCCGCTATTGTCAAGGCTAAGTACGATGAATCAAACACAAACCAATATTCAGCTAATCAATTTTGTACTTTTCAAATTATTTACCACCATCACAGGATTACTTTTACTCTACGCTTTGAAAAATACATTTTCTCAAAAAATATTATGTATATTGTGTGAACAACTTATTTTAAATTTCAAATGTTCATTTGTTAAAATATTTAATCTATAACCAATTTAGTTCTTTTCAAACTATTTACCATTACAACAGGATTATTTACCCTACGCACTAAAAAAACATTTTCTTAAAAGATATTCTGTATTGTTTGGACAACTTATTTTGAGTCTTTTATGTTTATTTATTAAAATATTTAATTTATCTTTATAATAAGTAGACAATCCGCAGCAACAATTCACTCAAGTAATCTGCTTCAAACTAAGCGAGACAGAAAATTAAGGACGGAAATGTGGCAGCAGATCAGAGTAGTTAACCAATTCGGTATCAGTAAGCCAGTAACCAACTCGATCATAACAGAACAGAGATTACTTGGGTGGATTATTTTATCTTATTTTATAGGAAGAAAGAAGAGGAAGAAGGGAGAGATTGGATTTGCCTCGTGGACGTAGGACTCGGTGTAGGGCTTGGCGAGGTCGGCGTGGAGGGCGCGGCACACCTCCGCCTCCGCCTCCGCCGCCATCCGCAGGATCCCGCGGAGCTGCGCCGCCCGCCACTCCGCGCCCCGCGTCCCCCCCGCCGCGAACCTCCCCCGCAGCGCCGCCACCTCCGCCTCCATCCCCACGCTCCTCGCCGCCGCCATCTCTCTCTCTCACTCTCTCTCGATCGCCTCTGATCGCCGGCGATGGATGGAAAGGCTTTGCTGCTGCTGCTGCTGCTGGTGATGGTGGCGAAGGATGCGGAGGCGTGTGGGGGGTATATATAAACCTCTCCCCTGCACGCAGGGTTTACCAGACGGTTTGAACGTCAAAATGGGACCCCGGGCGAATTTGACGAAATTCATGAATATCGAGCGAATTTGTGGTGGGAAAAACGATGGGACTTTGTAGGTTGCGATTTAAATCCCGGTGATTTGTTTCGAATCAAAATGTCAGAACGAATTTTTTTTAAAACACATAATAAATGTGGCACACACAACACACGTGTGTTTACATATTTTGAGCACATGCATAAAATTGGACCGACATATTTTTGAGATTAAAAGGCACCACGGATATCTCGCTATCGATTGATACGTTGTCTACCACTTATATAAGGAATAATTAGCTGAGAATATTCGTGTCAAGGGTAAGGCTTTAAGCTGGGTGGACCGGTTCAATATTGTTTTTAAACCGAAAAGTTAGAATATCGAATGAATTTTGTAGAAAGCGATTACTTGCGTCAAAATCTGACTAGTTTCTTGTTAAATTACAAACTATATAATAAAATTTTAATCAAATTAAGGACTTTTCTTAAAAAAAATGCCGCATGGCATTGGATATAATTTTTTTAAGGACATTGGATATAATTTTGACACGCTGAATATGTATACAACACAATTAACATTATATCAACAATAGAAAAGTTTAAAATACATGCTAGCAAGTCACATAATATTATAATGTCCATAGTAGTATCATAATGTACATGATATCAACCAACTAAAGTAACGAGCTTTCGGTCTATTAAAGCCATTTATTTTTCCTTTTTCCTTAGTTGAAGTGCCAGCATATACATAAATTTAACACATTTAATATTTTTTTCGTTTTTAATCAATATTGATGTAATTCACTCTATTGGTTTTGTGACGGCTGTATCTTTTGAGGATTTAGGCCATGTTGTACTGTACCGCATTTTTTTTTTTGCGGGGAGTACTGTACCGCATTTGTAAATTACTGGGATGGAATTTCCGAGATTTATTTATTTTTCCTTGGAAAGAATTAGTTGTCCTGGTGAATTAACTTTCTTTTGGATAAATTCACATTAGAACTTATTTGCTTTCAATTTCTGAAGCTCGGTTGTTTACGGTACAGAGGAACAACAGAAGTAAAGGAAATTTCTTGACTGCATTTAAACATGGAACCCAACAAAAAAACAGAGAACTAAATGCACATGCAAAAAATAATAATTATTGGAATCGAGAGCGTTGTGGAAGATTTCATTTAGATATTAAAATAAGACCTATTCTTTTTAAAATTAAGCACACGAGCTTTATTGTTCGTTCAAAAACATAATGACCACTAGCTCCAACAACACCACAAATTTCTATAGAACACAAAAAAAGTTTGTTATCTTGATGTCTCATTTGACAATGTTGAGACGGAAGAGCCAGAACTAAAACTTTTAATAAAGCCGACTCCCCTTACATATTTAAAACCATATATCTACTATACAAAATATCAATAAAATTATTCCGGCGTCATAAATATTTATGCGGTGCAATTTCAATTGGATTTTAGTGAGGTTACTACTAATTTACCGTTGATCTCAATTTTTTTTAACTGTGTTATAAGATATATTTGCGGGGTGGGTGAGTGTGGTATACTTGTGGGTATAACAATAATAAGAAACCTATGGGGTTAGCTGACCCCACAAGTCTCTAGGGTTGGCTCTGCTAATGAAAGAATGACTAGAGACACTCAATGACACCCAAAGCAAGTACTCCCTCTGTTTCAGGTTATAAGACGTTTTGACTTTGGTCAAAGTCAAACTGCTTTCAATTTGACCAAGTTTGTAGAAAAAACTAGTAACATTTTCAACCCAAGACAAATTTATTATGAAAATATATTTAATTATTGATTTGATGAAACTAATTTAGTATTATAAATATTACTATATTTGTCTATAAACTTAGCCAAACTTGAAACAGATTGACTTTGACCAAAATCAAAAACATCTTATAACTTGAAACAACTTGAAACGGAGAAAGTATCTATTGTTTTTCTATAGCCCTGAAAGATTATAACCGAAACCTAGTGCTGAGAAGCAAAATAGGACGCCTCGCCAAGAGCGTCGCCGTCTCCCGTCCTAGGGCAGAAGAGGTTTTCATATTGAAGAGTAGAGAAGATTTTATGTAAAATATCTTCTCTTCATAAGAAAATAGCTTAATTGTTTATGCTTAGAAAACATACGAGATGAAGATATTGCATAGGTAGTCGTTGTAGCCTTGTGCCTTCTCAGATACACACAACGAACGGACATACTCATGTGTGAAAGGAAAGACACATTATGCATTACACAAATATCAATAAAATTATTCCACTGCTTATAAATATTTAGCATTACGTACACATGGATACACTTTCAATAGAATTTTAGCGAAGTTAGAGGGCGTTTTCATCACGATTCGTGATAATAGTGTGCGTGTAGCGGTATGTGTGTGACTAGGCACACATGATGCCAAAAGCAACTAGTAGTAGCTAACAAAAGAGAAGATTCTTGGTGACATTAGTTAGGCATGACTAGAAAACATAGACCGTGTTTAGATCCAAAGTTTGGTCCAAACTTTAGTCCTTTTCCATCACATCAACATATCATACACACGAAACTTTTCAGCCACATCATCTTCAATTTCAACTAAAATCTAAACTTTGCGCTAAACTAAACACAACCATAGGAGAAGAAGTCCACAGGTCGTCCCCTTGTGCCTCATCAGATACCCACAGAACGGCCGCACTCAAGCCTGAAAGGGATGACGTCCTTTCAGCCTGAAAGGGATGACGTCCAGATTTCTCAACGATACATCTCATGTCCTTCACTCCCCAATAAATCGCACAAAAAATTATGCATCTCAGAAATGTTTAGTAGGTGTCCAAATTTTTCAGTCCCATTGGAGAATATTACAGTTACGAGTACATCAAATTCAGACAGCTAGCTAAAGAGAAGAGAAATGCACCCAGAATGGGAAAAGATACAGCCAAACAAATCTGTGCACAATTGAGACGATAACTATCAGGCGACAATGGTGTAGAGATAATTCCAAAAGATCATTAGAAGGCTAAATATATTGGTTCCAGTGAAAAGGGAAAACACTGTGAAACAGACATATATAGGATCTCATCAAAACAACTAACCACAGGATCATCTTGAATTAATGTGTAATACAAGAACAAGAGTGATACATCAAACATTTGTTTCCATTGCATCCAAGTAGTACGAAAATTATAAAACTGCATTATGGCTTTCATTTAAGGTAAACAGGCGACAGGGACATGGAAAATTGTCGAATTCATTCATACGAAAGGAACTTCTGCACCACATGATTCATGTTTGGTCTTTGGTTCCTTTCTTTCTCCAGGCACAGAACAGCAAACTCCAGCACCAGTAGCACCTCGGAGCGCACAAAGTTGCCATTCAATCTAGGATCAACAACACCATCGATCAATGTTTGGTCACCGGTTTTAATCTTCTCTGTTACTGTCCACACTAACTGCCTCAATGCAGCACCTTCATCTGCACTGCCATTTGCTGGTAGCTCAGACATTCGAAGCCCCATGACTAACTCCAGAAGCACCACTCCGTAACTGTACACATCAACCTTTTCAGTTATGGGAACACCAGAAACCCATTCCGGAGCGATGTAACCCCTAGTTCCTCGGATCTTTGACATGTTGGGATCAGTCTGGTTTCTCTGTAGCAGCTTCGCGAACCCGAAATCGCTGATTTTGGGCTCGAAATCCTGGTCGAGAAGTATGTTCTCAGGCTTTACGTCACAATGGATGATCCAATCCATACACTCATGGTGAAGGTAAGCTAGCCCTTTGGCCACACCAACTGCAATCTTGTACCTATGCTGCCACTGTAACAGTCCCTTGCTACCAAACAAGAACATGGCCAATGAACCGTTCTCTACATACTCATAGACCAACAGCCGGTGACTTCCCTCTGAACATACACCCATTACTCTCACCAGATTCATATGGTAGATGCTTCCAATCACACTTACCTCTGTCTGAAACTCGGCCTCACCTTGCTTCACATCTTTGAGCTTCTTGATGGCAACTATGCGATTGTCATCTAGAATCCCCTTGTACACAGAGCCATATCGCCCACGGCCAAGCTCATCTTTGAAATTCCTAGTAGCCCTCCGCAATTCTTTGTAGGTAAACCTACGGAAATGATCTGTTACAACCCTGTAGCCTTCCTCCGCAGCCCATATCGCTGATCGTGCTGAGTGTGTTTTTGCCATGAACCACCAGCCAAAAGCAATGAAGCAGAGCTCCACAAGAAAGAATGCAGCCAGGAAACAGTAGTAGTAGTACCACATCATGCCCGTTCCTTTGTTGCTCTGTGTAGCGTAATTGAACGTTTGTGTTTTTGATGCATTGCAAACATGGCGATTGGCAAGTTCAGAAACATGTGCTTGTGACCGGGACAGAAAGCTCTGAGGAACCTTGATATATGCTGCACCAGGGTATCCTGAAACTGTCTTGCCATTGAAGAGATCAGACTTCAAGAAGCAGCCATTAGGGTACACTTTGTACACGAATGCTACACAGGAGCAACTCGCCAAACACATTGCTCTACAAGCGTGCAGGGATGTTGACATGACATAGTTCATATCAAAGCCCCAGAAGTCAGTCTGAGGAATGCGCACAAAGCTCATTTTCTGGCCATCATTGCTGCAAGTGAGGTTGAATGCTGGCTTGCATCCTCTGCTCCAATCACCAGGATCACTGACCACATAACCAGGAGGGCAAGAGCAGCCAATCTTTGGTGTGTATGCACATATCCCGTTCCAACCACAAAGGCCGTGTATTTCACAGGGTTGGGAGAAAGCCATCCAAGAATTGTACCAGCTCCCATCTGACTCATTCAGGCTGTAAAGCCGAAGATTTCCATCATAGTCCAACGTGAGTCTCCTCTTAATCTCCAAACCCCAATCTGAGGCATAGAAAGTTGTGTTATCGCTCGCCATAAATTTCCCCAGCTTATCAAGAACACCACTCCTGCTACGGTTGTAAGAGATCCTATAGTTTGTCCAGCTACTCTGGTCAGGGTTAGGCCAGTAGAGGTTAAAGATGTCTGGTCCATCATAAGCAAGTGATAAAACGTACCGATCATCAAACCGTAAAGTGTAGTAACTTGTTGGGTGTGAGGGATCAGTTGATACCAGCTTTGCGGTGGCTGTAACAGGCTGCATCGGGAGCAGAGTGTTGGTTGGATGATCAAAGCTTTGCCATAGGATGCTTCCACCTTGATCCTTCACCACAAGGTTCCCAGAGTCCATGAGCTCGGCACGGACAGCTTCTGCAGAGCTACTGATTTGCCAGACAACCGTGCCATCATAGTCTGTGAGAACCATGCTTCCATCCTTGTTCAGCATGACTTTCGACCCGCTCTCATGCACAGGGCGGTCTTGATTTGCGCTCCAGGCGATGGTCTTGTCAGCTGAATTGGTGAACCAGATTGACAAGGTGAACACAGTGGATGAAAGGTTGTAGAAGCCGAACGAGAAGGTGCCATCCGTTGACCGCAGTACATTAGAGGCATGCTTCGCGGAGAGGGAAGACCCTTTATGCAGGTAATTAGCATGACCAGCCACTGCAGAAATAGGAGCCAGAAAGGAAAAGAATATGAGGTTTAGTATCAATAAAGAGCTTGGCATGATATGCTTTCAAAGAGCAAGATCCAAGGAGAAAAAATGCTGCTACTGTATCATGCAGGAGGAGGAAAGGAATCAGTTGCATGTATGCATAGTTCCATAGTTCTGTACAATTGCAATTAAACAATATGAACAAGCACATGGCAAGTGATTAGGTACCTAATTAAGATTAATAATTCAATCAACTGGGGTACCTTGGAATACAGTCCAATATGATATTCCTTCTCTCATCTGTTTTTTCATCCTATGATAGATGACTAGATGTCACCCGTGATCAGTTTGGCAGTCCACCAAGTTGAAGATTTCAGGTCTTACTATATGTTTGCTTAAATCTATTATATATTTATAAATTTAGGCCAAGCACATGATTACCTCAGAATGCTGGAAAATATATGTTTTTCTTGATTGAGAATAGTAATAATATCATTAAAAAAGTGGGTGCCAGTGATAATTTGGTTTATCTAATTTGACACAGGTTCCAATTAATTTTTCCTTAATTCTTGTTTATGAATTGACAATTATGCAAGTAGTTTAGTATGGTTTATTATTGGTGTACTTTTGCATTCAGTTACTCTCTAAAACATTATATAACAATCTAGATCTGGGTATATCGGGGTATTTTTAAGGAAGATAACTCACCTGGGACGAATGATTTAGATTTCGGCATACCATTTTTTATGATTACATGTAGTGCAATACTACAATCTCACTGGGAAGTCATCAAGTCACCCCAAGGTCCAAGGAGATCATTTGAAGAATAACCAAGTTTTTTGAACAGTAGAATGAAAAATCAGATGGCCAATCCAACTTGAATTTAATACAACATAATTTTGCAGTCTCCACTAGTTTCTTCAATTGATAGTGCAACAAGTCCAGGAAAATGCTACAGAAAAAAAAGTTTACACTTAGCATGAATTAAGAAAAATAAATGATGCATCTCGATTTTAGTTATTCAAACATAAACCCATTGTAAGGAAAGAAAATGCACACCAAAGAACACTCCATCATTTCCCTGTAATAGGATTGTGATGGAATTGTATATGAAAAGAAAAAAAAAAACTGCACACGGAGACTAATCACCAGCATTACAATGGGCATTTGAAGGTGCCTGTGCAGTTCCTGTTATTTCTATAGACTACTGAATGAAACATCAATTTGATGGAACGAAAAGCATGCTATCTAGCATCCCAAAGAAAATATTCTTCTTCAGACTTCAGAGATAGAACTAACAGCAACAAAGGTATTGCTGATCAAGAATCAGGACTGCAATATAGCTGCAACAAATAAAGTGCAGATTAATCGTTATCCCCGACAAGCATGTATATAGGCCACTCAAATCCATATAGCAAGTATGCAAGCCTGAATCAGGGGAGGCACCATGCATCCTAGAAGATAAGACCGAAGACCAAAAAATTAGACAAGAAGGCCATGGTCATGATAGGTGGAAACACAAAATAAAACAAAGTCTTATTGACTACAACAGAGCACACAATATCAGGTAGTATATGATTTAGGTGTGTAACTAACAGATTATTTTGTATCAAGTTGGAGTTAAACAACACAAACCCCTGGCACAAGACTAATTAAGAAAGAATTATACTCTTTTCAAATTATTTGGCATTACTATAAACTGTCTTCTCAATAATATATGATATAGTTCACTCATCACCGTCAACAACTATTTTTTGACTTCAAAGATGAGAAGTTGTAGGCTTTCCACACATGCAATGTGTCAATCATCAGCTAAAGGAAACACGAGTTTTCTCTATTGGTTTGTGGGATCATGCAAGTTTAGGGGAACATCGTCCACCTCTAACATACTTTATTGGCGATCTTTTTTACCTTTTTATGGTCACTTGATAATACCATAAATATCAAGGCAAAGACAATATCTTATTAGTTATCAGACACATCATGGACATAGATTATTCAAACAAATACAATCCAAGAAAAAAATCAAACAATTTGGAGAAAGTTGAATGGAATAGGTTATTTTAGCCACTTTTGAGAAGATATAAATCATGATATCATCTCTTCTTGCTAGACTTTACACAACCTTAGGGATTCCAACTTTTGACCAAGATAGGTGATGGAAACTACTGATGGGTGACAAAAACTGCTGGTAAAACAAAGAACATGGCTTGACATGTTCATTAGGGCATAGCTTAAAGTCTGAAAGGATAGACACAAGATCGAAACTTATGGTCATCGTGAGAGAATAACTATAATCATATGACCAGCATGAAGAATAACTATCATAGTGAAACAGCATTCTTGTGTTGAACATTTAGCTTTATCTAACTTCAGAAACATGCCAGGAAAAAAGGTTTCGGCTTCAGGAATTCAACTGGCCACCAGCACGACAGGATGAAAAGAACATGTACCACTACTCAAAATAACAGCTCAAAATGTAAATTTATACCAGGCAGATTGTACTAAGATGAGAAACATTGCATCAGACAAGTGAGGCTCACAGTATTTATTTCCTTCGAACTGAAACTATGCGGGCAGTGTATTTGGAAGCCCTGCAAAATGCTGTCGTCTATAAACCAGGTATCCTCCATTGGCAAACTCAAGACCCTGCAGGTAGCAAAGATGATAATCCGGAATCCGAATAAAAACTGAATTCGAAGGCATTTTGTTCAAAACCGAAGATTAGAAAACGAACATTTTCTGATAAAAAGAGGAAATCGAACTCTAGAAGAAGAGAGACCCCCAATCTGAAGGGATTTCGTCAGTCTGCTCCCTGCTGCGAATGGCCATTCCCCATTCCCCCCACAAACGCGGCGCCGCCGTGAGACGGTGCTGGCCGGATGGAGACAGCGCCGCCCATGCGAGCAAGCGGCGGAGGACAAAGATAGCGGCAGCGCACTGGCGTCGTGCCGGGCTCGCCTCAACTGCCGACGGCGGCGAGCCGGCGACGGCGTGGGCGCAGCCGCAGTCGCGGAGGAAGCCGCCGCCTTCGCCTCGCCGGCGGCTCATATATGGGCCGATTTAGCTACAGGCCTTAAGAAATTACAGCCCAGAAAGCCCAAAAACGTAAGCAAATATTTCCGACTCCGAGTCTTTGAACATTTTTTTTATTTTTACAGAAATTTTGAAAAAACAAAAAAGTTTTTTAAACATTTTAATAAAAAAATTTCCTGAGCCCGCTTAGCCGAACGGCCCGAACCCAAGTTTGACTCGGTTTGGCACCATCAATTTTGCCATTAAAAGGCAAGACCAAACCGGAAAAAGGTCCAAAAAAAAAAAAGTCAAAGCAGTCAAACCACCGCGCGGAGAAGGAGATGGACGTGGACCCTCCTCCTCCGCTGCCGCCGCCACCGCCACCGCCACCGCCGCCGGCGACGCCGCAGCAGAACAAGGCGGTGGAGCTTCCTCCCGGCGTATACTTCAACCCGACGCGTGAGGAGGCCATGCACCACTACCTCAACCGGTGGATCGCCGGCAAGACGATACCGGAGATGGAGGCCGGGTTCGTCGCCGGCGCCGACGTCTACGGCGACGGCCCCGACGCGCTGCGGCGGCGGCACCGGCCGGGATACTGGTGCAACTGCGTGTACAAGTGGTTCTTCCTTTGCCACCGCAAGCGCCAGAGCTCGCGCAGGACCACCGGCAACAAGCGCGCCGAGCGCGTCGTCGCCGCCGGTGGGCGGTGGAAGGTGGAGCAGGGGAAGAAGGTGCTCGGCGGCGGCGGCGGCGGCGGGGAGAGGGACAGCTTAGGGTTCTACTCCAGTAACTCCACGAAGAAGACGTCATGGATTATGGAGGAGTACACGAGCTCCGCCGCTGATGGCGCCGCCGCCGCCCGCGGCGAGGAGGACAGAATGGAGCCCGTGCTCTGCAAGATCTACCTCTCGCCGCGCGCCCCCGCCGGCGAGAAGCGGGCGCTGTTCGGGGAGGACGGCGTGGCGGTCGGGCCCGACGGACGCAAGAGGAACGCCCGGGTGACGGTTCTGGCGACACTGTTCGACGACGTCGCGGCACTCCTTGGACAGCCGGTCGCCGCGCCGCCGCTGCCGGCGCCAGGCGAACAGCTTGGCCATGGCCATGGCCATTTCGATGATGTAGCGGCTCGTTTCGGACAGGTCGCCGTGGCGGCGCTGCCGGCGTCGGGCGATCTTGGCCACGGCGATTTCGATGACGACGCCGCGGCCCTCCTTGGACAGGTCGCCATGGCGCCGGCGCCGGCGCCGGGACATCACCAACAGGGTTATGTCGTCGCGGAGGCGCCGCTGCCGGAGTCAGGTTATCTTGGCCATTATCACCACGACGGCCATCTCGCGCAGGCGGCGGCGGCGCCGGAGCAAGATCATTATCTTGGCTATCACAGTCACGACGCGCATGTCGTGGACGCGGAGGCGACGCCGGAGCAAGGCTATCATGACGACGCGCATGTCGCGGTGGCGCCGGCGCCGGAGCAAGGCGATCTTGGCCATGACCAGGGGCATCTCGCGGCGGCGCTGACGCCGGAGGAATGTGGCGAGATAGTTGGCGCATACGAATTTCACCCGGAAATGGTGCAGATGCTGTCCATTGGCTTCGCCGCGCCCGACGAACAGTTGTTGCCGCAGCTGCTAGACCCCACCGGCGGCGGCTACGACATGGCTAGCTCCGCCATCGCCGCCGTTGGCGACGTGAACGCATATGCCGCCGCGGCGCCCACGCCGCGAATTAGACCCAACGCGGCGGAGGCAATGGCGGCGACGGCGACGGCAGAGACAATGCCACCACCGCTGGACGCCGTGGCGGCCGAGCTATCCGCGCCGCCGCGTGGCTTACCGCCGGAGCTCGCTTTCAGTGCCTTGCCGTCGGTGCAGCAGGAGCCATCCTGTGACGACGGCGACAACTTCGGCGAGCTCGTGGCGGAGGCGATGCCGCCGTTGATCGGGGAGAACGCCGGCGTCGATGCCGGCAGCGACGAGCCTCTGCCGGATTTGGCCGGCATCATGACGGAGTTGGATTTTGGACATGACTTTTTCAGCAATCAGCACAGAGAATGAAAAAAAAAAGTCATTTGATGTTAAGAGATGGTTTACAATTTGTTTGTTTGGAAAGAGATTTGATTCTTTTAAGTTCTTGCAGTAGTCATCGAAGAACTCTGATCCCTGATTTATTGCTAGGACTGATTTTTGTTGTGGTGACAGGTTCAATCAAACACTGGCCTTCCAGATTATTTGCATTGAATCCGATTGTACAGTGTACGCTCCATGAGTATTTTTTTTTCTACAAAAATATTGGCCTGATAAGTATATAATTCTAGCATTATGTTATGATTCATGACAGCAACACATAGCATTTCACAAGTTACCTAGATGTGATCTTGTCAAAGAATAGAAAAATGCATAGCAACTCCTGAAAAGAACACCGAACATATCAGGGAATAGAACATTGTAACATGTACAGGCACTGCTTTGTTTTCTTTCCCTATGATACTGATAATAAACATGTTCAGATTACTCAATGACACTAAGGAATCAGCTAACAAATCATATACATAGCATATTAGACTACATAATGTATAGTCCCAGCCAATAACAGATTGTGGAACTAATTATATTCAGTCTTACAAGTATACAGGAAGAACTTTGTGCCAACCAAGAGTGGGACTGGGACTGGGACTGTTTCATAGGAACATCATAATTTTATTTCATATGAACATGATGATGTTTACAGGTAACTAGATTTTCTCTTTTCTAAAGAATACATTCACCTAATAATACCGTGTAGAGCCTCCCTTTGATGTTCATCCTTCTGACGGTTGGTCCTTCTATCATCCTAATGGCCTTTTCCCTTGTCGCTCATTTTGTAATTGAACTGTAACAGACTGCGGACTGCTCATTCTGATAACCAATGATGTTGGGGAACTGAGGCCAACAATAACCGTCCTCAAATCCATGAATGGTATTGTCACTGTTTGAATAAACAGAGAGTAATTATGGGTATATATGTTCAGGTGTGTGAAATGATCACAGAAGGGAAGATCCAAACTTGGGGATTCTATCACAGGGTGCACGGATCCATCCAATCTGCCCTCTCTCATTGTCATATATCACCATCTGATCTTGCATTGTGATGTCTGCGATAGGAGAGAAGAAGATTAACACCAAGGCATTAGAAATATGTGAGAAGATGAACTAGGGAGTTTCGTTGCTTGTTTATGTCTCAACTTCCTACCTCCGACAATGTTCAGATCCTTGAGGCCAACCTCTGATCCATTGAGGATGCCAAGGCATGCATTCCCATATTTCTAGCATAAACATAAGAAAATGTTAGCAACCAGTAATGCATAATTAATTACTAGTAATATGCGGAGTTCTAGAATGTTTACAGTGACAATAAGGTAGTTTTCAGGAGGGATCTCCATGAGAGCTTTCTTGCCATTAGAAAAGCTCAATACCACTGTTCTGAACTCCTTTTTTACATCAAGAACAGATTTGAATGGTTTCTTCCCCTTCCAGCATAGAGGCAAAGAGTGGTCAGGTACCTCTTTCAGGTTCTTGCTTAAATCACCCTTAATCTGCAAGGCACAAATCACATAAGCCCCAATGTTTATTTATCAATCCTGTGATGTCAGAATGGGAAATGTTTAAAACTTACTGCATCAACAAGTGCTTGATATGGCTGTGCAGAAAAGTAAGTGAATGAACTGCCGCTGTCAAAGACTACTTCCATTGGCCTCACACCTAGTGGCCGGCCACCAAAGTAAAGGTTTGCCGAGCCAGGTGAATAGTAATTCCTAAAAATAGAAGTTCAGATCATTTGAAACTAGGAAATACAGGTCATGTCATTTTATTCTTAAGATGGGTCATGTCCATGCCTAGTTTGAAGACCCATCAACAATATGGGTATACAATAACAAAAACAACAAACATGTTAACCAAGATTCGCTACACATTCCATACAGAGCAAAATGCAGTGTATAAAATTATCCGTGATTTCCAAGAAAAAAGAAAAAAAGGTAAATCCATAAATGACCATGTTCACTACGCTGCTCTCAATTAATCTTGGGAGTCATTTGACACTAGTAACGATCGACCACTCAATTTCAACATCATATTCGAACATGATACTAGTCATCTGCATTTACTTAAGCATTGTTGCAAACAAGCACTGAGCACCCAACCCATGTTTGTCAGACCAAAATGAAGTCCAAGGATAATAGGGCTCACCGGGATGTGCTACGAGCCATAGGAGCCCACGTTGCACGCGAGTAAGGCACAATGTCATCACCAAAGAAGAGGAACCCTCCACCTCTTGTACTGAGGCAGTGGCCAACCACGTTCTTAGTGATCCCATGCTGCTTGAGCTGTGAAAGCAGGCTGACAGAGCCACTCCCAAGCCCAAGGACACCATCAGTAGCTGACACCTCAGTGCTGCTCCCAACCTGCTGATCATACCCACACCTGCACACACAAAAAGGCCTCCATCAAGAACCACATCAAGTGGCCAATTCTTATCGTCTTCCAATGTTATATCTAACCAGTTACAAGTAGCATACCCAAATGCAAGACCGGGACGGACGATTGAGGAGTTTGCAAGTCGGAGTGCGAAGCTGTCAGTGACAAGCACACCAAGTGATGATCCCTGGTCAGCATACTTAATCTCATAGTCACACTGCTGCTTTGGTGAATCACATTTGTGCCTCCCGGTCAGACCACCGTGCAGAGCGGCGCACATCTGATCCACACATGGAACCAGCTTGTTCTTTGTTGGTCGGTACAGCGGGTGCGGAACCTGTACCAAACCATCACCATGCAAGACAACATTGAACATAATAAAAGATCTTGAGCCAAAAGAGCAATCAAAGAATGCATTCTAATGAGGATTACAATGAGCTAGAGTGAAATATAGCAATTGACATAATCCATGGGAGACCAAAAATGGATTCAACAATCAACACCACATTTAGAAATGGAGAACTGAATAAGAGATGCCCATAAATAGGCTTCAAGCCCAACTGAACCCAACAATGATGTAAGCAACAAAAAGGGACATTTTACAGCATCAGCATGCAAAATCATCATCCCAATTTATAAAAACCATCTCTATTTCTTTTTGAAAGGTCAACCTCATCATCCTAACTACTACTAGCACAAGCCAGGAAAGGAGATTTTCTCCCCTGAAAAAACTACTACTGAGACAAATCTTGGATTACACAAACAAAAAGAGACACAAAGACATCACCAAATATGGACATTGCAGGTTGGAGGAGGTGGATCCCAAGAAGAGAAGAATGCTACTACCTTGGAGCAGCTGACGCAGGGGGCGTCGCACTGCAGCCAGGTGAGGTCGCTGCCGGTGTCGACGTCCAGGAAGTAGGGCCTCGGCGGGTTGCCGATGCTCATCGCCACATAGTACAATCTGCGCAACAACAAGAACAAAAAAGAAAAATTCAGATTAGGACTTTGATTCATCGATGCCTCCAAGGGGCGCACACAGAAATCCATCCCCAAATAAGACCAAAATTTGCAGTCAGTTGATTAGTTCTTGGCGCCGGAGGAGAGGAATGGATCAGAGCGGGGCCGAATGGATCAAGGAGAGGATGGGATGGAAGCGAGCCATACCCGTGGGGGTACACGTCGCCGTAGAGCGGGAACACGGCGGAGGACTCCTCCGCCCCGGCCGTCACCGACAGCCCGCCCCTCGCCGGCCTGTCCGCGCTCGCCGCCGCCGCCAGCACCACCACCACCAGCAGGGCAAAGCCGGCAGGGCGGGCCCACCCGGCCGCCATGGGAGGAGGAGGAGGAGGAGGAGGGGAGAGCTAAGCTCTGCTTCTGCCCCCTTCTCCTTGTCTGCTTCTTCCCCTTCTCTTCTCTGAATATATATATATTTTTTTGGTTCAGATTTCTTCAGAAGATGATGATGAAAAAAAAAGGAGAGGATTTTTTTTTCGATGGATGGTGATGGTGATGGTGAGATGAGAGGAGAGGATGTGTGCAAAATGGTGGGTTTTATAGTGGAAGTATGGAATGTATTGCAATGGAAGGTTCTTTGTTGGGTGCAGCAGCAAGGAACAACAATGGGGGTTTCAGAGCCTCTTTGTTCTTTTCAGAATTGAGAACTTGAGATGACCTTTTCTCCTAGGTAACCTCTGAGATGGATGCAAGGTCAGGTGGTGTGGTGGTGGTGGTTATATGCCTTTTTGTTGATGCTGTGGAGAAAGGTATTTTGCATGTGGTTTGATCATCTTTACATCATTAGTGAAAAAGGCTAAAAGTGTACTTTAGTTCTAAGATGCATTTGGTTTTGACACGTGTGTTTGAAAATGTTAGCTAGTAATTAAGTTATATCTTATAATTTTAAAAGCTCATTCTTCGATTAAAATGTTGGTTCGATTAGAATGGTGGAATAGTTAACATCCTATCTCAGGAAGTGAAATGATGGTGGGTGATTCAATTTTGAGATTTTCTATATTTTGTCATTGACAATGCAACGGCGGAAACACGGGGCACGGCGAGAGGTCAGGTCCCCTCCAACATTTTTTTACATGGAATCATTCAATTAATTAGATAATTAAGCTAAGTAATACTAATACGTATTAGGACTGCGTTTAGTTCCATCCAAAATTTGAATTTTGGTTGAAATTGGAGATGATGTGACTGAAAAGTTGTGTGTACGATAGGTTGATGTGATGGAATTGTGCAAACTTTGGATCCAAAGTTTGGATCTAAACACACCCGTTCCTTCCAAGACTCTTGGAACCCTTCTATATCTAAATCTTAGCTCCGTCATTAGACAAACGATCGATTTTAGGAACCATTGCGAACGTGATTTCTTCTAAATGCCTTCACACATGCATTTTCTTTCCATTTTTTTGTGTCTTCCTTGTTACGTTGCAAAATGTCTATCTTACCCTAAAAAGTATACGCTAGGCTAGGGAGTGCTTAGGGCAAGTTTTATAATAGATGTGGTGGTCACTTTTAATTTTATCCACATCATCCATCCAAAAAATTAAAACTAACTTATATAAATACATTACATTTAATACACTAGTCCCAATACACTTGCCACCAATCAACCCCTCTTATTTTCTCTTGTTTCTTAAAATTTGTGTGGAGGTTGTCTCTTGTATATATGAGGTGTGACTCCTCTCTCTCTTCTCTTCTCTTCTCCACATCGTCATTTCGCCCTTAGTATATTCTAAGGAGTGTCTTTTCCGAGCATTCACTAGAGAACAGTTGGCAAAATACTAATCACGATGGTAAAAAGAAAGAAAAATGCATATGCTATAGCATTTAATATAACTCATGTTTGATGGTAATTCGAAGTATCGACCGCTTTTTAATCGCTAGATGTAGGCAATATTCTTATAAGATTGTTCAATATATTACTACGGGGGATTATCTACTTTATTATAATAATAAAACAAATATTTTAGAAAATAAATTTAAAAATAGCTTAAAACAAGTGATGTATAAAAAAAGTTTATTTGGGAAAATATTTTTCAAAGCATAGAGCAAATAATATGTTTTAACAATCCGGTAAATAATCTGAAAAGAACAAAGTCTAGTATCTCTTTCGATTTTCATAGATGGCACTTGCAGGTTTTCGTGGACTAAAAAACAATGTGTATTGAGGAATTGCTATGATTCAACTTAATAAAACTACAAAAATGAAGAAAAATCATTTTGGTAGTAGGACGAAGTACATATTAAGATGATTAGGCGATGTACTTAATTTGCTTGAGTAAAAATGATATACGATTTACCAACAAGACTAAAACCTGATTTGGATGATTTATCACTGAGCGATAAAATGATCAATATTTGCGCCCTTTGCCGCTCATGCAGGGAACTAACAAAAAATTGTAGCACTACGTGACGGTTGCTTGTCACTTTTCACGAGTACTACTAGTGATTTCTATCAACGTGACAGGTTACAGGTAGACGTGTTGTTTGCTTCGTTCCTTGTTCTTGTCACACTGGTACAGACAGAACTCTCAATTGGCTATATTAAATTGCTGGTTGAGTCAATATGCAAGTCTCCCCTAATAAAGTTAAGCCCCAAAAGAATGTGGATTGATAATGAAATTAAATTAGAACCAGCAAGTAATTACGAGCAAAACCACTCCAAATTCCAAAAACGTGTAGCATCTCTTGAAAGTGGGAAGGCAGATGGGGACTGAAAGTTATATCTGTGTTCCCTTCTTAAAAAAAATCCCTTCTAAAAAAAAGTTATATCTGTGTTTCAAGCTGACTTCTATAAGTAGGAGTAGTTCTTTTTTTAATCAAGTAGTGATTTTATAATTAAGAGTCATTTAACCTGCAATCTATATAATAATTGGGTATAGCTTCTTTAAAGCAAATACCAGAATGAATTCTAGTTTTTTTTAAAAAAGATGAGAACTGAAATAATTTTGATAACACTTCCAACAATTTTGTGCAAATGTTAAAGACACAATAATTTGTAACGTAGAATCTATTTTACGAATTTCATAGGAAGTGTAACTTTTTTTATCCCTGTAAGATTTCTTACATGACACATTTAAATTCTGAAGAAAACAAAACAGAAATAAGTGTACAAATGATACCTTCTGGCGTAGTTTTACTAAAGCAGCAAAAGAATTGCAGTATCCTGGCCACAAAGAAGGTGTAAACTGCAAGTTGGAGTATTTTAAGAGATGAAACCTACACCGCAGTGCAATTATACTATTCATTCTCATTCCTTACTTTAGGCATGCACAAGCACTAGAATAATAATAACAACACAAGAACAAATTAATGTGGGTTGTATTTTGGTGTAAGGAAGCATATAAGTGCAGCTTTATTCCTAGCCTTTGCCCTCCATCAGTTGTGATTCTAGCCTTTGCCATTAGCATCAAGTACATTAGATGTATAAAACAACAGGGAAAAGCATTTCTTTGTTTCTTTACTTTGGAGCCAGTGCAGCCTGCTGATTCATATTCCTGTTGTGCAGGGCGAACAAGTTCTGAAATTTTTCCTTTTCCGAAACACAATACAGATAGGTGACCTATAAACACAGCTTACCCTTATGAGTACTGAAATTATCATCCTACTCTTCACAATTTATGATAGTTGCAAGCGCGATATTTGCACTCTATAAATTCCTCAAAAAATATTTGTAAGAATTTGTAAAATTTGCTCCTCTGGTTCTAAAGTTGTTGTCATCGTCTTTTTCAGAAATTTTTTTTTGTCAAATTTCAAGACATGATACTTGCCCTACAAGTGCCTCAAAAATAATTGTAAGAGTTTATAAAATTTGCTCTAACAAAATTGAAGGAAACAATCCTCTTTTGCCCCCAAACCCTAGCTGGGGATGAAAGATCCATGCTCTATAGTTGCCTTGTAAGGGGAAAATTGAAGATATATGGTCCTAAGAGTGCGGAGATTGTTTTGGTAATTAATGACAACCCATTGTTGCAACTAACTATTTTCATGAGTTGGTGAGATTAGGTTGAGTTCCGGCGTCAAGTTGAAAAATTGAAGCTAAAAGATAGACACTATAATTTGATGATGAGCAAGTGAATACATTGACGATATGGGGTATGAAGTGGCTATCTATGGAAAGATGGTGAAGGGCAAGCAAGGCTCAGTTACGATACCTGGCCAGGCTAAGATCAATCGAGAGCACGATACCTCGAAACCTGATAAAGACGGAGATGAGAATCCATTTTTATGTCTATCAGACTATCACTTAATTAAAAGGTATAAATTGTGGTTCACTTACAATTTATGAATTAATCCATAACACCTCCGTGGGTTGCAGAGAAATTTGAGATTATACCATAGTCAAAGATGGGTTCTCTCAAATGCAAATCTCTCAGATTCGCCAGAATTATATTCTCAAACATGGTGGTGCTCCATGTTAAAATGTCTTTCATCCTCTTTTGTTTGTGACCAGACGAAATTGCCCTTGGGTTTTTCCTTCCACTCACAGTCACCCTCGCCGTGTCCGGGGAGCTCGGAGCTATTCTAAGCCCAAGCTCTTCCTCTCCTCTATGCCAGAAGCTCGAAACTTTCTCTTTGTCACCGCTCCTAGCCCAAGCTTGTCCTCCTCGTGCCACAGGCTGAGCTCAAGCCCTTCCTCACTACTGAGCTTCGAGCTCAACCTCTTCCTCCACTTTATGCCGGAGTCTTGTCTTTATTTCCCTTGACTAGAAAAAATACCCGTGCATTGTAACGGGTGAAGGCTATTTTAATTGTACTATTGTTAGATATATTTGTTTTTGTCTAAGAAGTATATGGGATTTTTGTTTTGAGATGATATCCAATTGAAACCCTTGTATTTTCAAAAACGAACGAATTTAAAAACCAACTTAAATACAGATGACATACCAAAACTATCGGTATTTTTGTTTTGAGATGATATCCAATTGAAACCCTTGTATTTTCAAAAGCGAACGAATTTAAAAACCAACTTAAATACGGATGACGTACCAAAACTATCGGTAGAAACTTCTTCAATTTTTATTAACATATGTAAATACTCCGTAGAGAGTCCCGCCTCTCCCAAGCCGAGCCCACTTACATCTCCCGCCTCTCCTAGGCCGGGCCCACTTACATCTGGCAGCTTTTATAGACCGCCCTCACATACCAACACAAGCCTTTTTTGCACACTTTGTTCTCACTCATGTGCACCCGGGAAGAAGAATTTCCCTGTCGGTCACCCATCCCAAATTACTCCAAGCGAGATCGGCTTCCGGAAAAGAAGTTGCAACTTGTTGGTACGAGTATTCTATTAATCCTATTAAACCCTGGGCTGGGATGTCACATCCTCACCCCCTTAAGACACCGACATCCTCGTAGGTCAACCCCAAGCCAGGAACGTCCCCTCTTGGCCACGTCTGTATGTCGGGATGTCACAAACATCATCTAAGGTTTTGTAAAAAATGAACTTTCTCTCATCCTATTGAAACGAGATTGGTGGCATAACATATATTTTCACCAGCTACCCGTTTC